TTTCAAGCATTTGCTTTGCTCTCAGTGAATAAGTCCTGCAATTAGTTTAGGGGGGTGGTCTTCTTAGGCAAAAATATAACTCAGTGTCTGAGCATCCTAATTAGAAAGGAATAAGAGCTTACGATTATGCCACTGTTCAAATTGTTTTACATGTGACTAATTTTCACAGTATATGGTTAATGCCATTTCTTTAGGTGAGAGTTCGTCAAATGCCATAATGGCTAGGGTCTTGCTAAGACTGTACAGATTCTTCACTTTTTAAAGGAAATCATTTCATAGTTTGCCCAGCATCTTAAAGTTAAGTGGTGGCTGCATGGGTCAAATGTTCTTGTAGGAGCAGAGGTATGCAATGGGCAGAATCATTGAGGATATTGAATTAAAGATTGCTAATAAACAAGAGAAACCAACAAGGATGAGGAAGCTGCCAGCTCTGGGGAAGATCTGGAGCCATGAGCAAAGAGGTTATTTGAGCAAAATATCAAAGGTGTGTGTGTGTGTGTGTGTGTGTGTGTGTGTGTGTGTGTGTGTGTGTGTAAGGGGGCTAAAAGTCACCACTCCTTGTACATGACCTAATAAACAGTGTTCACATTTTTCTTTATTCATATTGAAAAGCACAGAAATCAGGTGTTTATTTTTAACATATAGAGCCTGTCAAAAATTCTGTGCAAGTCATTCTGGGCCCAGCAGGAGTATTTCATGGGCCATTGCAATGGATGACAGCAAAAATTAGTCATGAGTTCTTAAATAACATTCACTTCTGGCAGAGCCTTAATTAATGCATATCAACTGACTGCACACTCAACCACACTTCTGTCTCTCCATCACCTTTCATTGTTTAGGATGAAGGGCATGCTACTATCCATTAAAGAGGTGTCTATACCCAAAGCTCATTCTTGCTAAGTTCCTAGACACTGCTAATCTCTCAACCCTTCTCAATACCTCCTTTGGCTGTTCTAACCAGCAGTTTCATGCTGATCAGACTATCACTCCCTTCCCGGGCTTGCTGCAGCCACTGGAATTCCTGCCAGTATCTCCCTGTACAAATCTTGGCTAGTCCCTCCATTTTTGTTCAGACTGAGTCCCCAAAATTCCACCTTCTTCTAACTCCCACTACTGACAGAGATAGGCAGAAAACACTTCCTTTCCCTGAAAAGATGAGAACATGGGAGGTTGTTCTTACATAGGGAAGCCCTGTCTGGGAATGCCTTCAATTCTAAGGGAGCTCATCTCCTTTCAAATCTAAGTGCGGGGTGCGGTGGAGTGGGCAGAGAGGAGTGGGGTGGAGAGACAGTGCAAAGGGTACTTGCATGTGGCCAACCCGGGTTTGATCCCTGGCACTGCAGATAGTTTCCTGAGTGGAGAGCGAAGGGTAACCCCTGAGCATTGCCAGATGACCCCAAAATCAATAAAAAAAATCTAAGTGAGAACATGACTCAGATTTATACCAGCTACATTCAACAGGGATCAGATTCTCCAGAAGCTTGATAATGTGACTCTCTCCAAACTTGAAATGCGAGAAACAAAGGTAGACTTTATTCTTCATGTAGATCATCCCTATTTCTTGTTGCAAGAAATTCTTATCTTCCACTTTAGCCCCAAAGTAAAAGTTCAAAGGATTTAATATTTGCACAACTTTTCGACTTGCATCTGAGGCCAATTTAGATTTATGTTTGTGTCTTTCACCTACTCTACGTACAATAGAGCATTGTGAGTTTAGCATATGAAGATTCTGAGATATGAAAATATCCGGAGTGTTCTGAATAATTGAGATTAAAATTCTTGGTGTTACTGGCACTAATGTATTCAGTGATATTTTCAGCCTTTTAAACATTGATACTTACATATGAAATAAACAGCACAAATAGGAGTACTCAGTTCTTGCTCTCTGAAAATCGGGAGGTCTTATATCTTTTTCAGTTTTGTTTACAGATATTTCAAATAATCATTCTTGTACTTGACGAATTTGCCTTTCAATCTAAAAACACTCTCTACAGGATCAAAAAGGGCATTTATATAAATCTAGAATAATAGAACTAAACCACTTGTTAAGAAATCTAGTTTATTTTTAAACTTTTTTTTTTTGCCTAACTCAACCTCCAAAATTGATGTTGATTCTACATTTGTTGCTTTATAACCACACATAGGTGCACCTTCATGCAACACCTGCTGAGCCTTATCAACCCTTCCTGGGCCCCACCCTTCTCTTCATGGTCCTAACTTCAGACTGCTTTTTCTGCTGGTTAGAACTATAATTAGAGCTTCAGGCTGCACCGTCGCATGATTTATGATCATTTGTCTGGAAATTCTCTTGAGATATTTCCCATATGCCTCTGCCTCCATTAGATGTTCACTTAAATTCATTTCTGACTAGTAGAGCAGAGGACAACATCGGCAGTAAATCCCTGTTTGGAGAAAGGTTCCATATGGACCATTCCTGCTAGAGGTACTATTTTGCTGAGGGTCTAGTTCCTCTCCCTCATCCAATCCGTTTCTCTGGTCAAGAATACATTTTCTTTTTATGTCTAACCCTCTATTTCTGACTCATTTCACTTAACATGATACTTTCCATGGAGTACCACTTGTATGTAAATTTCATGACTTCATCTTTTCTTTTTTTCTTTCTTTCTGGGTCACACCCAGCGATGCTCAGGGGTTACTCCTGGCTCATGCACTCAAGAATCACTCCTGGTAGTGCTCGGGGGACCATATGGGATGCTGGGAATCGAACCTGTGTCGGCAATGTTGCCTGCACGCAAGGCAAACGCCCTACCCGCTGTGCTATCGCTCCAGCCCCGACTTCATCTTTTCTAACAGCTACATAGTACTACATAGTGTAGATGTACCAAAGTTTCTTTAACCAGTCATCTGTTCTCGGGCACTCAGGTTTTTTCCAGATTAATAAAAATTAAAAAAAAAGAATACATTTTCTTTAGGAATCACTTCTTTTATCATAATGGGGAGGGGAGTGTGCGACACTTTTTCCTTTGGACTCTTAATTTTTATTAACCGTACAACTCTCAGGACATAGTTCTTTGCACAAATCTTTGAGTGACCAAGATTTGTTCCTTTTTTTGTGATTTCATTTGATGGTGTTTGTTGAAGAGTCCATACTTAGGGTCTATTTTGGGTGATACAACAAATAAACTGCTAAAGAGCTTGAAAAGCATCATTAAACTATTTTGGTGCAATCTTAAGACACTATCACCCTGATTTTATTGATATGTACAAGATCATTTCTGCTTCATTTTGAGACAATGAGTTTCTTTTTACTTGAAACTTTACTTCCATCTGTGCCTTGATGTTACCAATTGCTGCAGGAATCTATCATCCTTATTCCTGTGAGCCATCCTATCTTCTCACAGGCTTGCCATACATCTTATAATCTTTTGCTTATACAGCATCAAAAATAATCCTCTATGTGAGTTTCAGAAGCTTGTTTCAATAAAACTACAATAATTTGGATGAGTTAAATATACTTTCATAGAAGAGGAATCTGTCAAGAAACATGGCATACACCTTTTCTTAGACCTAAATAAATGCTCTTTCCATTGGGATAGTCAGTTATCAAAAATAGAGTTCTCAGAACCAAAAGCATCAACTGCAGCTAAGAATTTGCTAGAAATGCTGTGCTAACTGTGGGCCCTGGCCCCACACATGCTGGGGAGGAAATCTTGTGGATCACGCAGAGGGTTTCAGTGAGGGCTCCACATATTCTGAAGCAAGCAGGAGTGGTAGAGGCCAGTGGGTTGTAAGTAAACTCACTTGGGATGCTTCCAGATAACAGTATTGCTGGGACCCCACCCTCAGACCATTTAGCTCAGAATCTCTGGAGGATCACACTTTTTTTTTTTTTAAATTCTCTAGTGATTCTAATATGCAGCCAGACTGGGATCACTGCTTTTGATATGCGGACCTATGAAGTTTGTAAACTTCTGTTTCAGTCCTCAAAAAGAAATGCCAGAAAAGGAGACTACACAAAAGTTCTATGGAATTTTGAAAAAATGCCACTTATTCATCTTGTATGTTCATATAAAATGTGTCTGTTAAAATATGTGAACCCCTCTAGAGAACATCATAATCACAAACTCACAACACAGAGCCTTACCCGTAAGCAATGCACTGAGCCCAGAAACTACTGCATGATTAGGCTTTTGGAATCTCTGTTATGTTTATCACCTGCATAATATACTGCAGGTGTGCTAGCTGCTACACTCAACTACTGTTTCAGGACAACGCTAGCTAAGTTCTCACCATAATAAAGCATGGATTACCTACATAAAGGTAATCAGGCACAGATAGGGTTGCCCACTGAACAAGGAGAAAATTGACCTCAATGCAGGGTAAACCTCTAGATATGGTCTCTTACATCACTTGAATCACAAAAGATTTTCCAGATTTACTGAACTTTCCCCAAGCTAAGAATTTTAAAAAAGACATCTATATGTATGTGTGTGTATCTCAATTTTGTTTAGACTGATAATAATAAACTATGAAAGGCACGGATTGTTGGTGTTACATGAAATCACGGTTTATATTGTTGGTTATGAATGTGCAGATGTAGCTCAAAACTCAGACACTTTGTATATATATATTTGCATATATACACACATATATTTTGAACTACATATATTCTTGAAATAAATTACATCTTGAATTCTCTTATACAAATTCAGTGATATATAAAGAGGAGGGAAAAAATAGTCATTAGATTCAAATGTCATTCTGTATCTTAGAAAGAACTTTCTAACACTTTCCTATTAGGTCATATTTTTTGGGAGTGACCTCCCAAGCAGTGCTCAGGTCGTCTGGGGCCCCATCAGCGATTCCTGGCTGACCAGGTCTGTGGTGTGCTTCACTGCCAAGGGTCTGAGTGCGTGAGATGTGATGCTGCTCAGCTCTGTGCTGGGGGCATTACTGGGACACCCAGTGGTGCAGTGGGTTCAGGGAACTGTGAATTGACTTTTGGGCTAAACACAATATTGAATTTATCACACAGAGAATTACATTTTAAATGCATTTACCATTTTAATTTTGCTATGCATAAACATACATTCACCATGGGCTGTGTGATGCAATTGACAGTATAATGGAGAATATATTTTTTGAAGGCTATTTATAACTAAACAGTAAATAGTATAATTACAGTGGAAATTCTGTACAGTTTAAGGCTTGGCTCTGAACTAGATTGTAAATATGGACCAGATTTGGAAATCAAAAACTTTTTTTCAAGTAAAAGAAAATCATTAAAAATACAAGAAGAAACAAAAACAAAGCAACAGTGGCTTTTTCTGGAGTGAAGTTTCATAATATTTCAAACTAACAAAAATACAGTTTCTTCCCAAAATGATGACATTTATATATTTAGGAAATTTTAAGTACCTCTGGGAAGCTTTCCAGACTTGACTCAGAACAAAGCAGACAATAGGAAATCACATTAATGTGCTAAAATCAGTACTACCTCATAACAAATTAAATTAGATACATGAAGCAGGATTGTAAGCATTAAATATTTCCAGATAATCAGAGAATCATTACTGTTTATGGGCAAGAGTAATAAAACCATTGGAAACAAGAACAAGATTCAAGTTGTTTACTGAATAAACTCTGTTATTGGCACATCTAATCTGGGATGAACCGGACACACCGAACCTAGACAGCTTCTAGAACTTTAGGGTAATCTTCATTTATCTGTAAACAAAAGATCTGTCACCTAAGAAATCTCAAATTTGTTTAGACTTTAATAATAATAAACTATGAAAGGCATGGATTGTTGGTGTTACATGAAATCACGGTTTATATTGTTGGTTATGAACGTGCAGGTATAGCTGAAAACTTAGACACAGTGGAAATCAAAAACGTTGCTCTTTTGTGATTGAATCGTTGCTTCATGCAGTATCAGTTTAGTGACGCTGATTCGGATTGCTTTATTATGGAAAGATTTCTCTGCCAGTGTCTTTATTATATTCAAGTTCAGTTCTTCCTGATTGAAAGTTTCCACCGGCAGATACAAGTCATTTGGGTTAGAAGAGGGAATTCCATATAGGCTCGGTTTTCCTAATGGTTTGTATGACTTGATTCATGTGCAGGCTAAGTTAGTCCTGTAGAAGAGATTCAATTGGTTACTTACATAAAAATGAAACATTTCCTCAGATCATAGAAAAAGTATGTGGTGGGTTAGTAAATGCTCCTTTGGACAAGATTCTCTAAAATGCCAACTTTAGATTTAATCCCTTTCTCTTAAGTAACCTTATCCTTCAAGGGAATAAGATGCTCACTCAAAAGAATCGAACTTCATCTTCCAAATTACATTATTTATTTGAATATAATCAAGTGGTGTGTAGATTTCTTTAAAAGGATCCTTCTCAATCTTTGTTTCTTAAACCAATGCTAGAGAATTAAATATATATATATATGTATATATATATATATATATTTGGATTTTGGGCCTGTTTATGAGGACACCCCTCAATCGTTATTTCTTAAACCAATGTCAGAGAATATTTTTGTTTGTTTTAAACTTTGACTGTGCTCAGGGCTTACTCCCGGCTCTGTGTTCAGGGTGACTTCTGGTAGGTTCAGGGGAACATATTTGGTATTGGAGATCGAACCCACATTGACCACATGCAAGGCAAGTGCCCAACTTGCAGTACTCTAGCCCTGACCCCAAGAGAGTACAATATTTTTAAACATGTGAGATGTTTTAAGAGGCTCCTGTCAGATAGCAATACGCAAAGAGCTCAATGTTCCATTCAGCATTCACAGTCCACTAGGGATGGTGAGGCCCATGAGTCTCCCATGGCAAGTTAGTATGCAGGACAAATTTGTGCACACAGAAGGGAAGCTGTTTGTTCATGAGGCTGCTCAAACAATAGCTGGACAGGCATGCGCTCTCTGGAGGAAAGCAGGACCACAGGGCTGTATTTTTGCCTCCTCTGGGGACACAATGCTACACTAAAGGGAAAAACCATCCCAATGAATACAGAAAATATAAGACATCCAAAAGAAAGGTGAGTGCTTAGGTTTCAAGTTCAAAACCAAAACAAAAGCATAAACAGGCGACCACCAAACATGGTTTGAGAGAAAGCTTGCAACATTGCCATTCATAGGAAAAGGAGGGTTATCTTTTATGTCTCTAGTGCTTGAAACACGCAAACTGTACCTTCCCAAAGCGAAACACCTTTGGTTTGATTAGATCACATGACAAGTGAAAGCAAATTTGATCTTTCAAATTTGGAGAGTGAAGCATGGGTTCAAAGGGCAGACAGACTAGGCAAGCACAGGCTCTACTTTTCCTTTATCCTCCAACTGGCAGTATATGTAAAAACCTCATAGTATGGAAGCTTCAAATCTGAAGCCAAACATCATCACCCGCAAACCAATTTTCCATCTTTTTTGGGAACCAGCCCTGCAAATGCCAGTGAGAGAAAAAAAGAAAGGAAAGAGTCAGATGAAAGATGAGAGGGAGGCATCCCCCACCGCATTCCAGCCGGCCAAGCCTACAGTCAGCGCCGCCTCCTCTTACCTGGGCTCAATCCTCTCCATCTTCTGGTGTGATCTCTGTCTCTTTATGGACCACTACTTTGGTCACTGACATGTCAGGGTGCTGCTCTTTGGCCTCTTTAATTGCCTGAGCCAGCGCCTATCCCCAGGAAATCACAGAAGGGCAAAGACAAAAAGGAGGTGGAACATGCATGATCAGAGCAAGGTGGAAACTTATGAGCTATAACTCTATACTCAATTTACAAATGAGTGCAATGATTGCAAAGGGAATAGTCCATTGTATACTGGAAAGTTAACTCAACAGACTGTTTAGACTATGTGCTGGAGCTGTAGAGGGCATTAGGAGGAAGAGGGCCAACAGTGTGTAGGTTGGGATATCATTCATCTCATGCACCCTACCTGGTCATGGTCAATATCTGCATCTCCCGTGATGACTATTCTCTTCTCAATTCTCGTCTCTGAAATGCCTCCTTTCACAGTCTGAAAGGAAGAGAAAAGCATTATGCACCTGCTTGCTTGGAGGAACAGTCAGTAGCTCACGGGGGAAGGAGAGAATGCGGAGAATGCAGAGGGTTTGAAGTAATGTCATTCATGAAGAATTAAAACTATCCTGTGGCAGTTATTTGTAATTGTTAATTTCCGAACGCTAGAATGGAGCTTGTTGGGTTTGGCTGATGTTTCTGGAGTATCTATTATATGCCAAGAACTGGAATTAAGTGTTAAGCAAATTACATTCCTAAGCAGAGTATCACAAACGCATTATAAACACAAATGCCGTGAAAGCCCCCAATGCAGTAGCTAACCTAATATCCCTGATACGCACTGAACAATCTGCTCATACAGCCCCACCTGGAAGAAATCTTGTATATTTATTTTTGGGAGTTGGAAGAATCCCAGCTGTTCTCAGGAGACCTGGGGATTCTCAGCAAGCAGGCCCATGGTTCAGTGCAAGGGTCTGCTATGACCCTGCAGAGCCAGGGATTATTTGGGCCAAGTGCGGCAGTGCATGGGGGTCTCCAGGGCTGTCCCCAGAAATACCGGGAGAACCTGTGGTGTTAGAGATATAATTCACATCGCCACATGCAAGCATCCGTCTGCTCTCTCTCCTCCTCCTGGTTACTGACTTTTGTCCATTCACACCCACTTACTTTGGTGATATGAGTGGTGGTGGTGGTGCTGGTGGTTTCAGATGTGATGGTCTGTGCGCTCATTAGCACACCTGGCTCCAAATCAGCACCGGGATCAACCTGAGCAGCGAAGGAAGAGACCACACCTCAATGTGGACAAATGTCTCTCCCAACATTTGCCACGGTCGTTTGGGGCATGATGAGTACGTCACTGTCTCCCACAACTACTGGACTTTTAAATCAGCATTGATGTGCTGTGCTACAAGTGAAGGCTGAACCAAGTCTCGCCAGAGTTAATGTTATTTAAAAATTGGGACTTAACAAAATGGGGGCAGTGGCAGCCTGAGCTGCTATTGACCTCAGATCAGGGTAGGGAAACAGGCTTCTGAGCCTTTCTCTACAGGATACACTATGAGATACAAGAGGATCCGCTTAAGTCATCTACTCCAACATGGGAAATAAAATTGCAATAATTGCATAATTTATGATAAAGACAGTTGGGCTGCTGTGTCCTCTCAGTCTTGGGAGTTATACTTAAAATACACTAAAGCCAAAATGGAATTAAAAGTGCACCGGACCTGACCTTCACACACATCATACCTGTGATGATTCATATGTTATGGTTTTTGTTTCTGTGTGAACTACTGGTAATTCCTTGGAAGAAATTTCTAGCTTTACGCCTCCTGGTGAAACACTGCTGAAACTCATGGTTTCTGTTTTCACAGTTGAGGACTGTACCCGTGGGAAGTAAATAGAGTAGCTATTATAGTTCAAACAAATGCATAGTTCCCCCACCTCCCCTCTCGGTGCACACATAAATACATTTCTACATAGATATACACATATATATGCCTATATATGTGCATGGGTTAGTTTGAACAAATGCTTACATGTTACATAAAGCGTACACTAGGGAATGAGCTATTAACAGTAGATTTCAAACACTCTTCCTGAATCTGATAGCATTTTAAGTAAGGAATGTTTCAGGTAAAGGGCAAATATTGAGGGAAAAATAGGGAAACTATTTTTATGTTTTCCTTTCTCTATCATATAAACTAATCTTAACATTTTAAAAATAAACTGCCCATTGAGCAAATTCCTTTGTAAACAGGAGCAAGAATTAAGGCATTAACCCCTGTGATACTTCTGAAATCCCCATAAAAAAGGATAAAAACATTACATTCTGGCATTTGGTACCTGAGCAAGTAGGTCTTTTGGTTCTTCCAATAGGTATACAGATCAGGAGGAAATTGGTCACATTTTCTACTATACTGGCTGGTCTTGCATTCCCAGTGTCTATTGCCAGTTACAAGACTACAAGGAAAGAGAAGCTATTCTCTGGAACTCTACCATTACTACAAAAACTCTACCATAGCTTGTGTGTGACCCCGAAGATGGAAATCAGCACAGACACCGATTATCGCCATGCAATAAAGGAAATAAGAGGAGAAGCAAACTACTTGGAAAGAGGTCGAAATCAAACTTAGCTCTATCTTGATGCTTAACTCAATTTCAAGGATGTGACTATCAGTTTTACTTTTCAGCTAAAGAAAATATTAGCAACTAGTTACCTCAAAATGAGGTTTTTGTTCCACAGTTTCAGAAACGCGGGTAGCTGTACTCTGCTCCTCCTCTTGCTCATGGGAAGCAGTGGCCGATTCTTCCTGTTCCAAGATGGCCTTATCGACTCCCTCCCCTTTTTTCTCTTTAGCCCCCTCAGTCAGAGCAGAGCCCTCCTTCCCTTTAGTGCTTAACGCATCAGCAGACACTGCCTGGGCTGCAGCAGCCACATCATCTCCAGCTACGAAAGACGCATCGCCACGTGCATGCACATTCATCACATGTCTCTTCTCCGACACGGTTTCCTGCACAACCTTCTCCTCCATGCTAGGGGCCTGTGTGGACTCAGTTTCTAGTTCCCTGGACTCTGTCCTCGTTTCCATTTTCTGCATGGGAGAAGATTGTGATGTCAGAGTGACTGTCCATATAAACCAAAGGTGAAAAAAAACAAGCAAACAAGGAAAAAGAAAACATTTAAAAAAAAAAAGCAGCAAACCCACACCCCAACCCAAAGCAGCAACCCACCAAGATGTTTAAATTAAAACCAGTGCCAAGTGCTTATAACCAGAAATACTTATAGGTTATACAAATTAACTTTCATTCCTCCTGCCATAATATTTGCAGTGTGCCCCCAACTCAAAACATTCAAATCTTTGCAGCTACTTTCCGGTGATATATCCACAGAAGTAATGATTCAACATTTAAAAAACAAAAAAAGAACCACCCAAACCCAAAGCAGAATATCTGTTGTGTGTTCATATTTATTTGTATTATTAGATCTACTAGGTGAGATAAAATGATTAAAAAACTTAGATACTATTATATTTTCTCAACATGACTGTCTTTTGAATAGCTGAAGTGTGCTCTTACAACGGAACTAAAGGCCTATGACAATATGCACTCCAGGCAGGTACAAAAGAAACTAGTCTGACACCTTTGAGGTGTCCAAGGCAAAGTGACTTGGATTCAAAATGCACACACACACACACACACACACACACACACACGCGCGCGCGCACACACACATACACACACGCATGCACACAAACACATAGCAAAAAGGCATAGTGAATGGCAAGAAAGCACACACAATCAGCTACAACAAGGATGGAAGCAAACAGCCACCTGAACCCAGCTTTGAGAAGTGGAAGTAACCCCTCCTATGAATTCTGTTGGTTTTTTCGCAGACTCTAATAAACTGAAGATTTCCGAGCCATCCATGAGTTTTTCACCTGAAGACTGTTTAGTCTGAGTGAACAAAGAAATGGAGAGTCAAGGCCAGAGAGAGGAACATCCATAGACACATACACATTCACAACTGGTTAGACACAATCGGAGGCAGAGGAGGAGAGGGAGGCAGCATGGAGGTGTCTAAGATACAGACTTTGAAAACAGAACAGAATGGGAAATAAATAGCAAGTTCACAGTGACCATGAGCTCTTGTTGGGTGAAGCAGAGGGAGAAAAAGAGAGAGAGAGAGGGAGAGAGAGATTAGGATTAGGGAGGTGCTGGTGTAAGCAGATCATTTCCCCCTTCATTGCAAGCCACAGCAGCACTACCGCATCTTGGGAACAGGGAGCTGGAAATAAAATGCAAAGTGTTTTAACGCTTATGCTGGATTGAGGTATTGACTTAACCATGGCGGCGGGGGGGGGGGGGGAGAGGGGGGCGTCGGGGAGAAAAGAAAAAGCTTGGCTTGGCTGCTCTCAACATAAATTCAAACAGCAAGAGAAACAAAAAAGATTCAGGGCGGAAAGGGCACTGCCTCAAGAACATCATGCTGGAACGGGCAACGGCAGGTGGCCCAAACGAAAGGCACTGGTTACCACGACTCGGGATGCAGTGGATTCGGAAACATAATGAGCAGTGGCCACGGTGACGGCTGGCTCCTGGGAGTATCTCCATTCTGACAGACTCTTCCTTCTGGGACCGAAGGGTCCCACTTTTAAAGCCTCACTCTCTAGCTCCTGCTCCGTTCTGCTGAACCGCACACTTCCCAGGCTCCGGTGCAGAGCCGCATCCCTACCCAGCGTGGGACCCTTCCTGAGCTCTTCCTCTTCAGGACTCTGCCTCCGAGACTCAGCTTCCTGTATGGGAGCCAGGCACTCGGACACTTTCCTCTTTGGAGTGTGGATCTCTGGTCCTCTCCTGGATTTCTCATCACTGATGGTTTCTAGGACCTCGTATTCTGTCATGCCAGGAATGAGCTTCACCGACTCTGTCAGTCCCCGATCCATTTTCAGAAGAGCTTCCAGAATGGATGGTTCCATTGCCTTCTCACTCTCCTTAGCTTTTTCAGTCATGGTAACAATTTTTCCAGAGACAGTATCATAGGATTTTCCTAGCGTATATATTTTTTGTTTGCTTTCTTCTTTCAATTGCATTTCTCGGGTGAGGTCATCAAAGCTCTGCATTTCAATGGTACTAGATTTCAGCGAGTCAGCAGGGAGGTCATCGGTTCTACTGCTCACGGTTACCACCTTGTAAGTGACAAGCTTTCTCGAATCACCATCAACTACCTCAGAGGGTATTTTGTCTACAATAACCCAATCCTCTGTGCCCTATATTTGAAATATAAAAGCTAAATTAGAAATTCCCATGTTATCTTATTTCTAAAATAAGAAGAGTCCTTTAAGAAAATCGGGGCGAGAGCTACACCCAAGTCTATGGTGGACTGGCGTTGTGATCTGGAAAGTATGGTTATAATTGTTTCTTATCTGGAATTTATGAACTCTCAGCCTCCAAATCTGGAGAGTCACAACTTCATGTTTCTCTAAGTAGAAACATACTTTTGTGGTATACTTTGCAAGAAATAAATTTGATCTAACAATAAGTGTTTGATCATTTTACATTTCAACACTCAACATCATTGAAGTGGTACAGGTTATTTAGTTTTGTGTAAACACACACAAAAAGACTGCTTTCCATGTTAAATACTGTATATTTTGTGTTTGCTGTTCTCATAGCAAAACTTAGCAGCATACCACAAATTTCTGGGATTATCATTTTCCATGTTTATGTCATATTTGTGTTTATAAGAAATCAAATCAACTGCACTTATCACATAAATATTGTGTGCATATTTCAAGGCACTGTAATTAACAATTTCCTACTGATAAGGTACTGTTTGAATTTCTTATAAATAGAACATAATGGTCTCATTAACATTTGAGTCTTATTTACAGTTGCAATTCATCATCTCAATAGTTTTTTGCCATTGTCTAAGTGTTGGTAATAAGTGGCAAAAGAAACAAAATTCAGAAACCTTCCTATCTGAGTAGCCTAACAGGAAGTAAACAGAGAGTTAACTAGTTTAGGAGTTTATAAAGTGAAGAGAAAACAAACCAGGACCAGATGAGCACCCTCATTTACAGTATAAACTGGAATGTTTTTACTTTAATATTTTATCCTGGGAATTCAACTCTACTTTTAATGTGATGTAGCTATTGAAAGTTTGTGCTCTGAGCAAAAGGATTACACATTAATGTACATGCTGGTGGCTAGATTAAATGAAATGAATTGAAAAGTAACCTCTATGGTCGATGGAACAGTTTTCTGGAAAATTATTTGATGAGAGGTAACCATGGAACTTGTAGATTCTCCTTCCTGCATTCTCTTTCTCACACTTGGCTAGTGGGAAAACCAGTAAAAGTTCAGAACTTTCAAAATCAAAGAAAGTCATCTAAGTTAGTATTTAATTTATGGGAAAAATAGATCAGCAAAAGTCCCCATAATATTGTTAGAAAGTATAATCGTAATGCTTTAGTAACAACATATAGGTATAATCACCTAGGAGCAAAAGCTGAAAAAAAAAAAGGGTGGCTAAGAGATAATGAAAATTGTAAAACAAAACAAAACAAAACAAAACCCAAAACCCCACAAAATCTTCTCCCCCCATCTCCAGAATCCAAACAAAATCCTATACTTACCTTAGTTTTAATTAAGGTAAGTTTTAATAGAAAAATAAAAGCCAAAGACAATTTAATGACATTGAAATGCAAAGACTAATTATCTATTGGAAAATTCCTTTATGCTTATTTGTTACCTGAGACTCAAGGAATGAAGAGCTTCCTTGCTGCAAAAATATAACTTTTTCAGAAATCTCTCTTTCTTCTTTGGTCTGTTTAAATAAAGGGGGTTGGGTTGGAGAAGAGGAAGTAGACAGTTTCCAAAAGGTAAGTTAGGAAGAGTTCTTTTTGTGTTATACATATGCTTATAAATACTCATTTATTTTTTTTTAAGGAGTAAAACTTATTTCTGAAGAAGTATATTATTGTATATTTGAAAAATGGTCTGACATGTTCTGCTAGGTTAATAATTATTCTTAAAGAATATTTTCTGAAACCCGTGTTTATATGACTCAGACATTTTTCAATTTCACAAACACGGGGCATGCAAGAGCTCTGTGGCCGCTGAATGGTCAGTAGTGTACAACCTCATAAAAGTGAGTTTTAAGGAAAAATGTGCAGATGATGTCAGAAAGAAATCTTCAGCTCTGTGTCTAACAAATACTTGACTCTATAACCCATGCCAGTGCTCTACAGGGCAGAGTGAACACATGGGCAGGGTTCACTGCACTGGCAACCAACTTGCATCAGTCCAGGCATTTATCTAGCTTGACTTCTTTATTGTTCCACAAACAAAATACACACAAGGTTGCAGCTTTACCTGAACTTTTATAGTATAATGAATACTTTTAAAAGTCGGTTACAAAATATCTTAATTAAAAATTTTGCCAAAGAGTTCTTTTCTTGAACATATAAAAGTAGTAATTTGAGGTAGTATTATGTCACAAATGAGTTTTTTCCCTTTTACTCTTTATTCTTTTCCTCACTATTAAATGAATGACTACATTAGTAACAAAAGTCCAGGCTTTGTGCACAATCCATACAGTGGCTTACTGCTAAGAACAGATACTATACTTGGTCTTAGCCAAAATGCCAAGAAGGTATCGAGAGACCTTCTCTCCTGGCTTTAGACTCAGGGATCATTCCTTGTGAGGTCTGGGGACTATGTGGGGTGCTAGGGATCGAACTTGGGTCTCAAGTGCCCTCTCTACCCACTACTGTCTCTCCAGCTCTAGTTGATTTATCTTAGAAATAAAACCACAGAGCTAACAACACTGAAAACAAGAGATCCAAACTTCAACAATCATACTTAAAAATGTGCTGGTCACAGTGGCAGAATGGGGGTTGAGTGGAGAGTGGGAGGGAACTGGGAAGCCTGGTGGAGGAAGATGACCCTGGTGCTGAGTGATCCTGGAACACAGCATGTCTAAAACTCAACCAAGAATAACTATGTAAATCATGGCACTTTAATAAAATGTAAAAACAAACAAACAAACAAACAAAAACCCCAACCACAAACCCAACCAAAAAGGCCTAACTTCCTAATAGAACAGAACTTGCTTTGCTTGCTCTTTCAAGCATGGGTTTCCCTTGAACATGTATCTTTCTGTTACCACTCTGGCGAAGCCCTTCTTACTTCTAAACAGGTATGCACCTCCCCTCCCGTCTAAGTAAATTTCATTCAATAAAAACTATCTTGCTTCACTAAAAACAACCAACCAAACAAAAAACTATTGTAAATAATTTTGCTAGAGTCATTTAAAATTTATAGCTACCAATCTACTCATACATTGAATCATTTCCTCTAAGTGGATACAAAGGCGTTTCTAGAATATTCTCCTGAAAGACATAGTCACAGATTTCATTCGCAATCCTCACCCCCCATCCTTCTATGGGCTGTCTCACTGCTGGTGACACTTGGCCAAACAGGACTGTTCTGCAGAGCCAGAGCGGCTAATTATCTGGCTGTGTGGTGTCGGCACTCAGCAGAGAAACCCTAGTGGTAAAATGGGAGCCTCTGTAATTACAGCTGGCATGGTCAGTAGCCAATGAGATGCCAGGGGTCAAACCAAGGTGGGCATATCATGTGCTTTATATGCTAAACCCCAACATTATATGTCTCTTTTAAATGCAGAACAAACAAGACTTTTTTTTGAAGAGACAAAAATCTTCTTGTCCAGCCCCTTTCTGAAAAAGGTTATTAGAAGAAATAAAGCTGGAAATCATTAAATGTGCATGCTTTATTCTTTTCTTCTGTCTAGCCTCTTCTTCAAAGAAAAATAAGGCAGGCTGAGAAGGTGAAAATTATAGCCACTTTTCAGAATAATACTTCCAGGTCTCTCAGGCCTCCAATTATAATCATCGAACTCAATCTTATTCCTAAGGTGAAAGAAAAACAGTAACAGTAGGAAAACAGTGGTCTTCAGTATATCCGGTTACCTGACATCAACAAATTTCAAAAATGTCTCTGTCCATAATTGAAAATGTCAACACTGTCTGCATTCAGAACTCTGTGTGTCTAATAACAGGAAAGGTAACAGAAGGGGTTAGGTTTAAAAATGAAATTCCACATATAGTTAACCCCAGTCTAGTTTTTCGGCTGAAAAGAAATAAAGAGATAGTGCTAAAGAAAAGCTGATGTGTGAGGTATTTACTTTTACTATAGTGTAGAATATAGTCCATCTTTCTTGTTTAGTTACTCAAACTCTCTTCTCACAGTATAACTATAAAACAAGATCCCATATAGAAAGCAAAATACACAGAGTTGGAACTCACTATTAGACAATTAAGAGCTTTTATAGAGCTGGGATCCCCATTTTTGCATGGCCTAAGGCTTCTTAAATTTCTCTCTAAATTACAATTATGTAGAATAGTAGTAATACACAGTAAACCCCAGATAAATTAGATCTGACACAAGAGTCAGACATCATCATTTAAAAACTTTTCCTTAGGTGATTTATACAATCAGACTTGCACTTCAAGGCCAAGATAGAAAGTAAAAGATGTGAGATTTAGAATGGAAATATTCTGCCTTTTATAAACAGATGGAAAATCCATTACAAATGAAATCTTCATCCATAGTGAAATTCATCTATGTCCTGAATAACAAAATAAACACATACCAGAAAGCAGACAGATGTACAGTTAGGTCTAGTTATTTAATGAATTAGTGAAAAATGAACTATTGCTCCTAGGGGATATACAGGGTTAAGATCTTGCAAGTCTCTGGTCATATTTTCACTAACTGATCAATAAAAACCTTGTTTTATGCTTGTTCTTGTTTAAAGACACTTCAAAAAATAATATATCATTGATTCATTATATTGAACTCACTCCTGAATAAAGCTTATTTTACCACATGTATTTTCCCATAAAGTCCAGTCTTTTTTAACCCCAGAGCTAAGAAGCACTAGAGCAGTGGTCTTCAACCAATGGTCCACAGACTGGTGACAAATCATAGTCATAGAAAGGTTGAAAATCACCCGTTTACCACCTTGGTTACAATTGCTGGCACATGGACTATTATGCAGAACAGGTGTGGTAGGGAGGTATAAAAAAGCTGAAGAAACTTAGACTAGACACATTTTACCACTAATCTTGGGTCACCTAAAATAGCTGTCCATTTTGCTGACTAAAACAAGAACATAAATTTGCAGCAACAACAATGTAAGTAGCACAAAACAGGGCATGAATAGGGCAACTGTTAAAAGGAGGAGATTTGAAATAATACTGCTTGTTTCTTTCCTCAACCTCAGCTGGAACATGTATGCTCTGAGCAACGAGGATTTTTCACCAATCTATTTTTCCAATGATTGTAAAAATGCTATGGTTATTGATTAGGATGATGAATAAATTTTAGTGAGTAGAGGAATATGCAAATATGAAACCCTCAGATGATGGATTGTGCTAAGATAATATACCTGGCAAATTATCAGCCAACTTAAAAAAGAGGACTAAATTGGCACTGCAAAAATGCTAATAGGCACTGCATCTTGTTTGGGATTTAGAAACTTTCAGTATTCAACTTCATCACTAAGGAATCCTCCATCTCATATGAATACTAAGAGGTTATGTGTTTCACTAAAGACTGTTATGGGAACAGTCGTATGTGGAAGGCAGGTACTCTGGAGACTGTAAACATGTCTATTCTTCCTGTGATTGAGGGACCTTGAAGGGGGATTTGCTTGTCTGTTTTCAAGAGTTAAAGGTTTGGTATTATCTGCTTCTTGGGCTTTTGTTTGCTGTTAAATATGTGAAACTTGAAATCATTGGCAATAAAATTTTCAACTTACAGTTTACATATTCTTAAAATTGGGTCACTGTTACTATATCATTACATATATTTCTAACTCCTCTTTTTATTTTAAATTTGTTATTAATGGAAATAGATTTAATATAAAACCATCATAGGAAAAATAGAGAAATATGATGGCCATACTAAATAAAAGGTCAATGAGTATTTTTTTCAAAAAACATTTTATCATGGGAATTCCCAAACAATAGCAAAAGATTACTTAAATTGGGGATTATAAAGTTGCAGTCAAGTTTCCTCCTTATTCTGCTATAAATAATACTTTCTCTGGGGTGCCATTTTTTTTCTTTTTTGTTTTTGTCACACCCAGCCATGTTTATGGTTACTTCTGGCTCATGCACGCAGGAATTACTCCTGGTGGTGCTCAGGGGACCATATGGGATGCTGGAAATTGAACCCGGGTTGGCCATGTGCAAGGTAAACATTCTATTTGCTGTGCTATTGCTCCAGCCCTGGGGTGCCATTTTTAAAACAAATTTTCCTTTTAGAAAAAGAAATATTTTCCTAAATTTTCCTCTCAGAAAAGTAAATTGAACATTTTCTTCTTTCTTGGAGTGGGAGCACACCCAGTGTGTGTGTGTGTGGGGGGGGGTGCTCAGGAGTGTCAGCTGGTGCTGCTTGGGAGATGGTATCTGGTGCCAGTGTAGAGGACTGAACCAAGTTCTGCTACCCATGGGCCACAGGCAAGGCAAGTGCTGCACCTCCTGTGCCATTTCTCTGACCCTGGACTTCTTAGCTGGCAATTTACTACTTGGTTAAAGCAGATAATATAGTCACTTAAACTGGTAACTGACTTTGGAAAGTACTTGTCCTCCAAAATATAAATCTGTTGGTTCAGTTTGCAAACCAATACACTCTATTGTGCATTTCAGAAAGCTACAAAAGCCCACAACTTTAATACAGAAATGGCAAGGATTTAGAGTATTCAAGATCTTTCTGGGTTGCTCTTAGAGCTCTCTCTAGAGTCCTCAAATGGGAGCATAAACTTGGATTTCAGGATGGTACTGTAGAACGGGGCTGGAGCGATAGCACAGCGGGTAGGGCGTTTGCCTTGCATGCAGCCAATATGGCCGACCTAGGTTCGATTCCTTCGCCCCTCTCGGAGAGCCCGGCAAGCTACCGAGAGTATCTCGCCCGCACAGCAGAGCCTGGCAAGCTCCCCATGACGTATTTGATATGCCAGACACAGTAACAGCAAAGTCTCCAATGGAGATGTTACTGGGCCCGCTGGAGCAAATCGATGAACAACGGGAGGACCGTCACTGTAGAACGGTGTGGAAAAAGACCACTTTTCCCTCTGCCCAGCCCCAAGGCTGAGAAAGGCACTCAGAATCCTGAACACCTGGAAGACAGAGTCTTCTGGGCCTTGAAGAGACTTTGAACTCATTTTTCGGGCTCCTTTGATAACAAGGGCTGATAGCTAACCTTGCATTTAAGCAGCTCATTTTTAATATCTAGTCAAACTCTACAATGGCCGCTTTTCATGGAGGTGATGCTGCCCTGAGGTGTTACCTCATCATAACAAATTAGCAAACACTTGAAAGAAGTTTACAAACCCAGCCTTTGATCTTCACCAGTTAGAATACAAAGAATTCTGCTCTTCTGCAGAGAACGTATTTCCATCCAAATCACTAAAAGAAATCCTTTCTTGGGTTTGTGGCTGTTTTTTCTAAACACACAGATAAGGTATTAGTAACAACCAGAGAGTGAGTGTTCAGTATGTTCAAAGTACCCTCTCTGCAAGTCATTGACACTCACTGGCTTCATCAATACCATTCTCCAAGGAACATAAGATTTTTCAAAAGTGAGAAAATTCTGTTTTACTATTTTAGTGGCCCAGACTCTAAGTTCCTTCATTTATTAAGGCCACTCTTTAATTCCTCTAAGCTACATACCTACAGTTTATTTACCTAGCATTTTCCTAAATAACAACAGCATGGGAAGAGATGCCGAGATTTGTGCTTGGTTTGAGGTGTCTAGTCACTCTATTTCTGTGACTTAATCTAGTAACTGACACCTTTTGCAACCAGTACCCCTTTACTCATTTCTGAGATGGTGAAAGAGGGTAACTCAAATGATCAACTACAATAAAATGTATATGCTCAGAACTGTCAAGTTAAACTTTGTAAACTGAGGCATAATTGACACAGGACATTAATCTTAGGGGACAGTTTTACCCTTAAATACGGCAAAGATGATGACCATATTTAAATCAATAAGAATGTGAAGTTTTCATTTCTTGATGCTAAATGGAATGAAACTGGTGTTTGGTGAGAAAATATTCTGGCAACTTCTTTTACTTTGCATTGAAAAGGCCCCTTTCAAAGTAATTTAAGTGGAAGTATACCTTGTCACATTATTGGAATTGTCGTGAACATAGAGCTATGATCATCAGTACTGATCAATAGAATTCAGAGGAAGATTATAAAACATTCAAGATGAGTATGATCCTCTTCTATTTTGACTTCAGTTACCTATGTACAGCATAGTTTATTTTTATTGTTTATTTACTGGTTTGGGCTGAAGCGATATAGCACAGCAGGTAGGGCATTTACCTTGCATGCAGCCAACATGGCCCACCCAAGTTCAATTCTTCTGCCCCTCTCGGAGAGCCTGGCAAGCTATGAGAGTATCTTGCCCATGTGGCAAAGCCTGGCAAGCTACCTGTGACGTATTCGATACGCCAAACACAGTAACAACAAAGTCTCACAATGGGGCCCGCTTGAGAAAATCAATGAACAACAGGAGGAGAGTGACAGTGATATTTACTGGTTTGACGGGCACACTCAGGGCACTCAGCTGCTATTCCTGCTCTTAGCAGTGCCTCGGAAACCATGGGTGGGGGGTGGTCAAACCCTAGTCTCCCACCTGCATAGTATATGCTTGGCACATTGTTATGTCTTTCTGGTCTTCAGGCCAGATGATAAATGTAAATGGTATTTGTAAAATGATATTTTTCCCAACAAGGTTTAAGTTTTCATTCTTTTCTCTTTGGTTGCAATTTTCTAAGAAAATATTTTACAATCATGAAGTCTTCATAAGAAGTTAATCAAAATGATGCTAGAAAGAAGCAGTTTTGAAAAACTACTTCCTCAAAATGAGCAATAAATCCAGGTGATGTCTAACAGTGGACACTGGGTCAGTCCTGCTCGCATGGGTGAGGCCGGAGCAAGAATGGATGAATCTTTTCACTCTGCCAAATACTCAAGACAGCATTGCTACAGGGAAGACTTGTATTTAAAAAGTCAATTCCCCTTTAAGTCTTCAAAAAGTCAAAGAAAAACATTATAAATCAGCTTATTAAAAGTTTTAGATAAAAAGATACAGATTTAAAAAAACTGGTATCAACAAAGATCTGATAATTTTCTCAGTATAAATAAAATGAGTCCTGAAATGCTATGAGCTTTGATCACTTAGTCAAACACTGGACAATCTTAAAAGGGTTTATCTTGCAACTGATGAGAACGACTATAGTTTTTAGGCTATACTTCTTCATCAAGAAAAGGTAAGTCTATTCAGAAAAGAAAAAAAAAAACATCAGTTTGCTAAGATGGTAATTCAATTTTTTCCAGATGTGAAATCTAGGCTCATGGTTCAAATAAGAACCCTATATGTCCTAACTCTAAGCAGTACCCCATGCAATTATTCACTCCTCTGCCACCTAACTTGCTTTTTGTTGGCAACTTTTCTTTGGAGCACTGAGTATATCAGTTCAACTTATACGAGACATGAGGTGGAATTCTCCACACAGTTGTTTGCCAAGTTCTTCTCCCAGTTCCAGACCCTGGAGAGAAGTGAGGCTAAAGGACACACAACAACTGCAGCTGAAGTCTGGATACCGACCTCTTCAGGTACAAGTGGTTCGATCATGGGGGCCTCTTCCTGCCTGGCAGCTAGCCGCACCGGGGAGGTAGAAAGCCTCTTCTCCCACTCATTCGTGATGGCAGTATCTGTGGAGCTTTCTAAAAAGGTTCTTTTCAGCTCACTAATGTTGGTTTGATGTTTCACCAGGTCATCTTGAGCTTTATCTAGCTCCTACATTCAGAACATAAAGAATCCGACAGTCAACGCATGACATTTGTCTACCTTTTGGTGTGCTTGCTTTAAAGTCAACTGCATTAGTAGTCAAAAATAAAAAGGTTTCTGTTCAGAGCTCATCACACTACTGCAAACATTTTGGTGAAAATGTGACATCATATCCAAGGAACACAGGGAAAATAATCTAGTTCACATAAGCACACACAAAAAAATTGAGTATTAAATAAGCTAAATAGTTAAGAGTGTCATTCGCACACAACCAGAGAGATTAAAAATAAATATGCACACAGGAAAGGGGGGATGTCTATATCTAAGACAGTGTACACAATCAGAGTAAACTAAGAGGTCAACCCAGTTATCACAGGTGAAGCATACGGTTCATGCATCATGACTTGAGGTAACAGGTATGCCACTAAAAGGAAACCAACACACACAAACATGCACTGGTATATACCAATACCAACCTCTAACATAAGATTACTATGTTTGACATACACATTTTCACCCTTTATTCGCTTAATCAGACTATTCTGAAAAAAGTGGAGAAGAAAGGGAAAAGTAAGGGACATGATAGTCACAGAAACAAATGCCCATCACCTCAACCAACATCGTGGGAATTGACTATAGAGCATGCTGAAAGTTTTGACGTCATAGACAGACAATGACTTATCACACACTGGGCTATGCTTTTGTTTTACTGTTAATTTTCTACCTGTGCCTTGGCCTCTGCATCTTCTTCCTGGTCCGACTGCCAGCAGCAAGAGAGAATGAGAAATAAAGTCTTACCATGCAATTCTCTGAGATGGAAGAACTGGGGCCCAGGTAAAACTGCTAAGTGGGGAAGTTAGCTTTTTCTTGCTCAGAGATGCCATATATTTCTTGTACACAAGACTTTCACACACAGATTATCAAGTATAGCAAAACAGACATGTCAAAGGTTTTTGCTCAGTGGACCTCTAACCCTTAAACCTAGAGATTTCCAACTGTGATGGGCATGTATTCATGTGTGGGAGGTGACAGTGAGGCTTGGTGGCTTGTCCCTAGTGAATACTAGAAGTTATGGTTAAGGACGATGGGGGCCACAATTTAAAAGAATTAAAATTTACAAGTATAATTACCAGTAATAAAGAGCTCCCCTGTGGTATACAAATCCTCACAATAATCCTATGCAATTAACAATTATCTAAATTTGTAGCCTAGAGAACTAAAGCCAAAATAATTTAACACAAATCTTCTCAGGTATTTTCTGGTTCTTTGTAGGCTTGTATTTATACCCTACAAACAAATTTGGGAGGACAGAAGGATGACAGAGTAAGGATTTTCTTTTTTTGATACTATCAACATTAGCATTATTCTTTTAAAACCAGACAGGAAAAGTTTTGAATTTTTTCTGGTTTTTTTTTTTTTTTTTTAATTTGGGAGAGGGGACTGAGATACACTTGACTGTGTTCAGGGACTATTCTGGGTTCTTGCTCAGGAGTGACCCCTGGTGGTGCTCAGAGGACTATAGGCAGAGTTGGGATCAAACCAGGTATGCTGCATGCAAGGCCTTAGCTCATGCAATCTCTGACCCAAGGTTTTTAATTTCTTTTTAAATTTTGCTTTCTGGGCCACACCCAGCAATGCTCAGGGGTTACTTCTGGCTCCACACTCAGGAATCACCCCTGGCAGTGCTCGGAGATCATATGGGATGCTGAGGATTGAATCTGGGTTGGCCAGATGCAAGGCATACCCGCTGTACTGTCTCTTTGGGCCCCAAGATTTTTAATTTCTAAAATTTATAATAAAGTTACCTAAAAGCCATGTATTTTCTTTATTTTTTTCTAATTTCAAGGATCTATACAGCCAGCCCTTCGATTAGGATCTGAAAAACCAAAACCAGGTAACTAGGCTGAGCCAAACGTGCACTTTTAGGGAAGTTGTACTTCTTGTCCTTGGTGCTGTGAAAGAAAATCTGGGCTTTCTGCCTCTGAGTTAAAAAGAAGGACTGAAAGACTGTAGGAGAGAAGAGGGCAGCATCAGAGCCCACTGGATGTCATAAAATGCATTAACTTCTCAGTTTCCTTATCTGCCTATGTCAAGACTATCTCTCCAGCGAGCTTCTTCTTGCACTGCTGCGTGTGCAGACATGTAACACAATCACACTGGCACTGCAGTTCTGTTTACTAGGCAAAACCCAAGTGTTAGCCTCTGGCGGCAGGGGTGGGGGGGTGGGGAGGTGGGGATGCTCCAGCTTCAATGTGGTTGTAAAAATGCTGAGAGCACATGGTTTCTTAAACACAGTGCTGGGACATGAAAATTCTAAGTATATGATGATTTCACAGCTGTCATTTTACTTATAATGCTCTCAACTTGCTTGCATGCTCAAATATTACAAAAGAATTCTTAATGTTGCTATAAAAATTGAAATTGAAATGTTTTATTTGTGGCATATGTTAGGATAATGATAAAATTGACTCAATAGAATTACCTGAAGCTACACATCACCAATCTTATAAAATCAAGATGTGATTTTGATCTATTTGGTATAGAACATCATTAAATGTAATGAATTTAGATATGATTGCTTAAAATAATCTAAACAATAGTTTCACATATTATTTTTAACTTCAAGGAATTATTTCTAAATGTTAAACTGGGCTGGAGTGATAGCACAGCGGGTAGGGCATTTACCTTGCACACAGCCAACATGGCCGACCTGAGTTCGATTCCTCCGCCCCTCTCGGAGTGCCCGGCAAGCTACCGAGAGTATCTCGCCCGCACAGCGGAGCCTGGCAAGCTCCCCGTGACATATTCGATATGCCAAACACAGTAACAACAAAGTCTCCAATGGAGACATTACTGGGCCCACTCGAGCAAATCGATGAACAACGGGAGGACAGTGACAGTGACAAATGTTAAACTGAATTTTCCAATAATTTCTAAAGGAATAAAAATTGACAAAACACCACTTTGAAATGTTTTCCTGAAGGTATTTTTAACTAAGGTATATTACTGATAGCACAGTGGTAGGGCGTATGCCTTACAAGTGGCCAACATGGCCGACCCAAGTTCGATTCCTCCGCCCCTCTCGGAGAACCCGGCAAGCTACCGAGAGTATTCGATATGCCAGACACAGTAACAACAAAGTCTCCAATGGAGACGTTACTGGGCCCACTAGAGCAAATCGATGATCAACGGGAGGGCCTTTACTTACAACATTTTTAATTTTTCCTGAAAACTCAACTAGAAAATATAGATTTTTACTTGATGGTGTATAAAACAACCCAAACTAAGTATTATCTTTAAACAAAACCTAAATTCTTCTAGTATTTTAGGAAATGGACATCATGACTTTTCAGTAGCATAGATGAGTAGATAAGTACTGTTATAGAAATTTTTAGGTACTGGTAGAGATTTGAAAACTAACACAAGTCACACATACACACATACTAAAGATATCCCAAAGAATTAAGAAATGATAACTAATGCATAATATCTGCACTATCACTGTTCAATATGATTATATTCTTTATTTTTTATTTTTATTTTATTTATTTATTTATTTTGCTTTTTGGGTCACACCCGGCAATGCACAGGGGTTACTCCTGGTTTTATACTCTGGAATTACTCCTGGTGGTGCTCGGGGGACCATATGGGATGCTGGGAATCGAACCCGGGTCAGATGCGTGCAAGGCAAATGCCCTACCAGCTGTGCTATCACTCCAGCCCCTATTCTTTATCTTTTAAACTAAATACTAGTGGTGGGCTGGAGCAACAGCACAGTGATAGGGCATTTGCCTTGCAAGCAGCTGCCGATCCGGGTTCAATTCCTCCGTCCCTCTTGGAGAGCCCAGCAAGCTACCGAGAGTATGTTGCCCGCATGGCAAAGCCTGGCAAACTACCCGTGACGTATTTGATATGCCAAATACAGTAACAAGTCTCACAATGGAGACATTACTGGGCCCGCTCCAGCAAATCAATGAACAACGGGAAGTCAGTCCTACTAGAATGGTAACTCCCTGCTTTTGTCTCCTTAGGACATTTATTTATTTTGAGTGGCCAAGAATATATCCCATCTACAAAAATGAGGAAAGAGAAGTATTATTACTTTAGCAAGTATTATTTGACCACACAGGAGTAATATTTGTACCCAGTCAATAAGCTAATTAAATTGTAGCTCTTCCAAAATATAATGCCCTCAAAAGAGAGGGAGTATCTGGGAATTGTCTGCCATAGAAGCAGGGTAAGGACTGGGAAGGAAGTTGGAGTGGGGTAATAGGGATATTGGTGGTGGAAAGTTTACACTGGTGGAGGTATGGGTGATTGATCATTATATAGCTGAATATCAAACATGAAAGCTTTGTAACTGTATCTCATGATGATGCAATAAAAAATTAAAAAATAAATTGTAGCTTTTCTCCCCACCCATCATGACTAGCACACATACAGAGAGCATTTCATTTGGGACAGGGAAATAAACTATTTTTTTTTAAAAAAAAAAAAGCTCAATCAGTTTAGTCAAGTGGTTCTCAGATGTGACTCTATGAAAGCGAACACATCTAAAACTTGTTTAGCAAAGATGTTACTGACTCCCACAAGAAGAAGGTGCCCTCCAGATGATTCCCATTCAGGCTAGTGTGTGGTCTGTGTACTTAACTCCTACTGTGCAAATTAGGATTTAGGCACATTCTAAAGGCTAATACGCAGAGTTCTTAGATACAAAGCAACTTGGCAAGGCTTTGGGCTACAACTGGCCACCCTCACCAAGTATACCAACCTCAGTGGCGGTGGTTTCCCCATCAGCTGCAGTGTCCGTTCGCTCGCTGTCAGTCTATTGATCACAGAAGCGATCAGGTTCCAAGAGGGAGGCAGGAATAGAAAATAAATCCAGCTGGTCAGATACGGCAAAGCACTGGTCAAGAAGTTCATGTTCTTTCTCTGTTCTCTGTACCATACTACCTTCCCACAAGAACACAGGTTTAAGCAAAAGCAAAAGAAAAGCCAGAGCTAGGTTTATTCAGCAGAGCCACTCAGAGGAAGACCAGAGACACACAGCCTGTGGAACCACAGGAGCTGTGTCAGCCAAGCTAATCTGTCTGCTATCATATCTTGGAAAACCAGTTTGTCATTCTTTCCACCCTTTCAACTACAACCCCAAGAAAGCTCTCTTACTGTTTAATACAAATAAAATTTATGTTTCTATATGGTTTTTATTCCAGAAATGTCACATTTGAAAGGTATATTAAAATGTGAATTTAAACAAAAATTTAAGTATTTTAAAATATATTGTAACAGTCACTGGACTTTCAGCCCCTCATTTATACCATTTTGATTATTTACACCCATTTATGACCACCATCAAGGCTGTCTGCATTACCTCTTATTATAAAAACACATGCCAGTGACTCACAAGCATATGTTTTATATAAGAACAGAACTCAAGTAGGATTGCTAACTAGAAAATTTTTATGTTTTATTTATTCCACCCACCAATAGAGGTATTTATAAGTATGTTTAAACACACCATTCCAAAAAAATGTCTGAATGAAGCAAATAATTTTAAAAAACTAAAAGAATGAAAGAGACATCTACTTGGAAACAAATAAAACAAAGCACAGCATTTAATTGAGCCTGTGTTTTCAGGGGAGATTATATTAGCAATTTCAGAACTGACTTTTAATGTTTCATTTAGTTTTATGATTAAAAAATACTGCAATCTGGTGGATTATAGCAATAGGCATTGGAACTGGGATACTCAAATGCTCCTACATGATACTGACATTTTCCTTCACAAATATCAACTAATATTATTAAATTTCTATAGTAAGCAATGATGTGCTTACTATAATATTCTGAAAACAAAAAATCAAAAACTCGGCTGTAAATTGCCTCTTAATTAATCTCCCACTCTGAAGTATAAGGAATGTTACTTTAAAGAGGGACAATTGAGATAATTATTGTTTCTAGTGACATGATTCCTATTAAGTGAATTTCCTAGCACTGTCCCAGACTTTCGTTTACTATAGTCATGAGATCTAAGGATGCTTTGGTCTCTGATGGGCTGCGTATACAATGGGGGTCCTATGCTGTATATGCAATAGTTCATACCATATAGCTTCAATATGCAGAAGGTTATAGCTCCCAGTTTGTGTAATCACACTGTGATTTTCACAAAATTGCCTAATGATATATTTCTCAGAATGCATCTCTGTCAAAAAGTGACATATGACTGTATTCCTAAAAATAAAGAGTCAGAATCCTTGTTTGTTATGTATCTGAGTTGCCAATCTGGCAATCTTGTTACAGTTCTAGAATGGAAAATATCGGAATAGTGTTGCCAAAAAAAAAAAAAAACAAAAAACAAAAAACAAAAAAGAAAAAGAAAAAGAAAAAGAAAAAAAAAGCACTGATATTTTTTCATGAAGTGACCACAGTGGTAATACCCAGGTGTGTGTTGTAATTTTTCTTATAAGGATGATCATTGCTATGGCATTTTACCAACCCATAATCTAGGGAAAAGCCAATTTCAAAGAGTAGGAGGTGAAGGGAGTCAGAGGAAAAGAGATGGAGAAGAAAGAATATACATAATAACTCAAATAAATCTCAATTTCAAGAACAAATAAGAGTGTACTCAGAGTGCTGCAATACTAGCTGTGCAAAAATGTTAAAAGTTCTTGAAATATTTTTCCTTCTTTAAAGATTTCCCTATGGCTTTACAATTTATATCTATAACTTTCCAAGCATCTTGGCATTTAGTAAGCTATGATTAAGAGTGGCAAGTTTGAGCCAGGGACACAGCTCAATGTGCTGGAGCAAATGATTTGCAAGTAGGGGCCATGGATTTTATCCCTCACACGCCATGGTTCCCCCCAAATTGCAAGGAATAACCCCTGAGCACCAAGCTGGAAGTAGCCCCTGAATCAGTGGGTATGGTTCATCAAAAACAAACAAAAATCTAAAAATCAAAACAAGAGAGGTGTCCAACGGTAATGAGCTCAAATCCTTGCCATTCAAATCTAGGGCACGCAGGGCACATTTATTTTACTTTCAAACTTTCTTCCGGTGAAATGGGGAAAATACTCCCAGTCATATATCAGCTGATGGGGTACAAAGTGCTTTACATTTTGCCTGAGAGAAACAAAGCTAAAAAATGGCTACAGTGATAACATGTTGGGCCAGAGATAGAGCTCAAAGTGGAGTGCATGTTTTGCATGCAGGGGGCCCTGATTTGATCCCTGGAACTGTAGGGCCCTTGGACACTGCCAGGTGTGAGAGTAGAGAGCTCACGGTAGTTCCTGAACAGCATAAAGCCTCAAAAAATTATATAAGAACTGTTATTCCTAGCTATACACAGTTTAGGTAATATATAAATTCCTTCAAACTAGTCATTAAACATAGATCCTGACCAATAAACAGTGAGGCATAAAAGACTAGATAAAGCATCTTTTGTAGAAAAAGCTATTTGCTAGGACTCAACAAAAGTGAAAATTTTAGGTCATATCCTGAACTAATGTGTAAAACCTTGGATTCCAAAGCTGTTAAAACCAGGTGAAACGTTAAAATCAGGTGATGGTTAATTTTAAACTATGACCTTTTTTTTTCTTCAGCAAAAGAGTTCCCCAGAATTCACATGTAATTATACTTTATGGAATGATGAGATAATTTTTCTCATGTTTTAGTTTAAAAAACTCTGCTTTTTCCTATTTGACCATGACCAAAAAAAAAAAAAAAAAAAAAAGAAATAGTGTGCCATTAGCTTGATGGTTTGGGATTATGCCTTGTTTTATGAGATGTGAAAGGCTGAAGTAATTAGGTTACTAAAACCCATGTAAAGTGAAAAATGTAAGCAGTAATGATAAAATATTTAAAAGGAATTACAGTCATTAGTGACTTTGCAAAACAAGTTATAAAACTGAACTGCATGTTATGAAGTCATCCAGTTTAGCTGTCAAAGTGCTTTTAGTCTAGAGAATAAAATAGCCCTTGTAAACAAATGGCAAATTAAAAAAAAAAGAACCAAAAACCAAAACAACAAAAAACCAGAATGACCTACATATGAGTTCTCTAGTTCAGTTTGAACTAGAGTCTCCAGCTCTTAACGCTTGGGGTTAAGAGACCACATGGAACAGATGGCCAAATACGGAGTCTGAACAGAGTGTTATGGCCAACCGAGGCTGGGCAGGAGACAAGGCTGCAGCCGCCAGCACTGCTCCGGCCTGGGGCTTTGCAACAAGGAGAATGATGTGCTGGGAGCTGCAGTCTCCTGTTCACGAGCTTGCGGGGAGTGACTGCTGTGATTTGTTTTGCCAATGTAATGCAGACATGCCCAAGTTTAACATTAATTTTCATGCATTGATTATACGACGAGATGTATCCCCTGGATTAGGCACAAGATCTGTGTGGTTTACTATACAAAAGTTCAGTTGTTTGGAATTCAGAAAAGCATAAACAGCAATCATTTTGTTTTATGTTAGCTAGATGGCTAACTTCATAGCTACAGGAAAAATAAAAGGTTCAGCTTAGAAACCAGCATATATTATAAACAGTCTTTATAGATAATAGGGTGTTCTTAACTGTGGTGCATTCTGATTCTATATTATTTGATAATGTTGCTACTGTGCTGAATAGTAATATGAAAGCCTAGGACACAGTTTTCTCTTGAAATATTTCCTATGCATAAAATGGTCTTGATTATATATGTGTATATAAATATAATGCATACATATAATATTGCGATAGTTAAAACTAAGTCATATATGATCCAAGATTTTGAAAAGGGCTCTTTTGCACTACTAAGTAGCAAAACTTGCACTTTTATTTAAAACATCTGTGAGACCATTTCATTTTTTCCCCTTTTTTGCCGCAAAGAAATGGTCATAATGCCCCTAAATATAGATACCCTCTTGCAATTTATATACTCACAGGTGCAGCAGGCTTGAATTACGGTTTCTAGCTGAGCACAGAACTGAAAATCCTTTCTTTCCTTTTTTAACTGTTGCTTTGACTTTGTGGGTCCGAAAGAAAAAAAAATTCTCAGGGTTTTGGGCTTGTCTACTGCAACAAAAGCCCTTATTTTGTGGGAAGAGAAGAACTGGAGAGCCTGGGGGAGGGGTGGGCAGGAGGGCAGGTGACAGGCTGGCACCTCTGCTGATGGTTTCTGTACTTTTCCCAGTGCTCTATTTCAGTTCTATAAAAGGGAAACTGCTGGGCTGGTCATACAAGCTTTGGGGTGGCAGAGAAAGAAGAGCAATTAAGAGAAACTCCCAGTACAGTGCCAATTCACCCAAGTGGTGAAGGGCAGGCAAGGCCTGAAAGCATGCCTTCACAGACGAGGCTGATAGCCACAGTTCTCTTCCCCAACTAAGCAAATGCTTAGCATAGCCATAGGGGCCTAACTCCCCTGTCCCAACTAGACTGGCAAATGGTATGGGCTCATATTGGAACTGAAAGCATCATTGCCATCTGATGACAATCTGTATACTGTATGACACCTTTGATGAGTCTCCTGATTGAGGTTGAGAATTCCAGTTCTGGTCCTGTTCCTGGACCTCCTAACTGACTGATGGCAAAGGATGCTTTAAACTGCTCAAATCTTCTTTCTGTTCCAACACTCCCATAGGATTTACTTCACCTCCCTGGGTAACTGGAATATTGTGGCTGGGACAATAAGGAAGGGGCATTTCAGAATCTTGAGGAAGGGAAGGCAGTTAACAGTTTTGGAAAACTCCCCTATAAAGACAACTCCCTACAGCGAAGTTCTCTCTTGCCTCTGCTGGAGTATCATTTCTCTCTTACCTCATATCACTACTACATTTATATACACCAGGATTCCTCTGGGTAGCGCTCCATGTATATAATTTACTTTGTCAATGAAATCTGAATAGGATCCATAAGCATTTTTTCACATAGCTAATGGGTCATCTGGAATTGACTTCTGCTTGAGTCCTTTGCCACCGGCAGGCCAGTGGGCAGCAGCTGGCTCTGGGTAGGGCTGAGACCGCCACCTTCACATGGTGTTGTGCCTAACCCCAGGGCTGGGTTGTACTCCCAAACAGACAACAACCCTTTCACATGTTGGCACAGACAATAAATGAGGCTCTGAAAGTCAGGCCACTAGGGCAGCGGCCGTCTAACACTCCTTCAGACGGGAGCCCCGAACACAACAGGGAAGTGTGCTCTATGCCGAGGTACACACCTCTTCCTCTGAACTGTCACTCGGGTCATTGTCTAGTGAGGCAGTCAAGGAGGCCGCCTTGGGCTCCAGGTAGCAGAGGCACAAAGCCAGAGGGAAGGAGAGAGTGAGGGCATATGGCACTGAGAAGGAGGCGGAGAGCAGGAAGAAAAAGATGAAGAGGAAACAGGGCACCAGGGAGGGAGAGCGGATGGGGAGGTAATGCTGCAGGCTCTGGGGAAGGAGGTTGGTCTCAGACAGGTTGGGGAAAGAGAGGTACCCGTCATCATCTAGAAGAGAAGGGAATGAGTCGGGGAGCTGCAAGGAGAAAGAAAACAGGGTGGTCCCTTTGCCCGTTTGCTGCTTGTAGCTAAAAGCCACATCTTGGTCCCCTAGGTACGGCTTCCCCTTGCTGTCAGAGTCCAGGGCGGGCTCTCCGTGCTTAGGCTTGGGGTCTTTGGGCAGCTCACAGCCCAGTGCCTGCTGGCCATTCTCCTTCCACCTCCTACGGAGCTCTGTGGGGGATGGAGGGGCAAGATGAGCTGATGGCGGGGACAGGGGACATGAGTCAGTGCCAAGCCCAGATGACTGATGTGGAAGAGACAGAGAGAGACAGAAAGCAGCAAACAGAGGTGCAAAAGGACAAAAAGAAAACTGCAATTAGTTAATTTTCTTAAGGGTATCAATATAAAATTGTCAAACAAGAATTTTATCTAGCAGTAGGGTTGTTCAAATTTTTAAAGTATGCAAGCTGAATACCCAGTCTACATGAATTTCTACCTTCCTCCCACTAAGCATTCAAATATAACAGTGGACTTACGAAAAAATCAGAACAGGAAATATTTGTGGGCAATTTCAAAGTCTACACATTTCACATAATTAAGAAATTAGTCTCGGTTAACAAGGTTAGGAAGTTTTAGTGTTTTGAGAGCAAACATAACTCTCTGATCATTGAAAATCAAGACTTTCAATAACCTCTCCTTGTCTCCAGTTGGGAATTTGCTACAATATAGTCATGTTTTGACCAATGGTGAATGAATATATAATGGAAGTTCCAATGGATTGTCCCATACAGACATGTTGCATAGATAGGTGATATCATCCAGGTTTGTATAATTACACTCTGTCATTCATACATGGAGGAAATCACCAAGTGAGTCATTTCTCAGGGAACATTCCTGTCATTAAGTGCCACATCACAATAGTTCAGTTGGATTAGAAATAAAAATAAATCCAAAATTGGATTAAAAATCATCTTTGTTATTACATTTGGACCTTGGTAATGGCAATGACATTTAAAACAGGTGGGCTTCCAAATCAAGGAGTTTCTGGCCCCACTCCTATCTGGTAAAGCTTCTCTTATCCGGGAACAGAACTAGCATTTTAAGAACAATGACTCTCTATATAGAAAAAAAAAAACCTGGAGCTTCTTCCGAGAAATCTATTTTGGTTCCTTTTCTCATGACTTAAATGAAACTGAACTCAAGTGGTTTTTACTAAGCTAACTAGAAAAATGTTTTCCTTGATGTGGTTCATAGCATTTACTTTGCATTGTGACCCATCAACAAGAAAGTGACTCTTTGCTAATTTTCCATTTTTCTGCAGCAGATAAATGGTCTGCTTCATTCCTTTGCTGTGTCTGAGTCCTGAACAGAATGATGAAGACAGGTACCCTCAAGAGGGAGCTTGGGCTTCGTGGAAAAAGTGAGATCCTGGCAAACTTCATGACAGGGCCAGTCTCCTGGGCAGGGCCAGATGCTGAAGGTGCTGAGCAAGCAGGGGTAGGAGGAAGCGAGCAAAAAAAACTCCGCAGGGACCTGCATAGCACAGGAGCTGTTAGCGCTGGGGCAGTGCTAGGTGAGAGCACACGGAGGTAGAAGATAATTAGACTTTGGCTGCTCTAGATGATTCCTGTGTATCGGGCCTGGTGATCTCAGAGCCGGCTGGCCAGCCACCAAGTCTGATTTGGTAAATATAAGGACAGAGCACAGAGCACATAAACACATTTCAAAAAGTCTATCTTAGGCTCTAGATGTGTCTCTTTTTAAGAAAACAAACGTGTCTTTTCCTAACACTCATGTCTGCCATTATGCTTTATTCTTTTCTTTTCTTTTTTTTTTTTTAAATAAGATCCTTCCAAAAACCTTGTTCAAGGAAGAATAGTGTGAAAGTTACAAGGTAACCTCGGCAGCAAGGCGGCCCTCATTCCCCAGATGCTAAACAAAGGCAGCCTCATCAGCTCTCTGGGGTCATCAGCCTCAATGACTGGGAATCCAGAGGACCAGATTTTAAAGAACTATTATTAGGAACACATTCTAATTTTGGTTAAAAAGCTAAGACCCTTTGTATTACTTTATAAAGGTGGAGAAGAATAAAATTGAGGTTTAGTCTTCTAAGCTGCTTATTAAAGCGGATTTGAAAATATATTTTGTTGTTATGACAGCATAACTGTGAAGGCATTTCATCAAAGCTACCGGTAGCAGTCATAGATTTTTCTTAGTCTTATTTTCCAATGTCATGAATGACAATAGCTTAATACTATATTTCAGATAGACAATCTATTGTTATTTTTAAATCAAAGTGAAGCTGCCTGAACCTATTTCTGGAGCAGAATTAAAAATAATTCACATTTAAGGGACCAAAGTGATAGTGCAGCAGGTAGGGCATTTGCTTTGCACGTGGCAAACCTGGGTTTAAAGCCTATCACCCCATATGGTCCCCAAGCTCCACCAGAAGTAATTCCTGAGTGAAGAGTCAGGAGTAGCCTGAGTAGTGCTGGATTTGACCCAAAAGCAAAACAACAACAACAATAACAACAACAACAAAAACCCCAAAACCAAAAAACCTCACCAAAATAATTTACTTTTAGTCCCATTAACTGTATTTACACGTTCATAAATTTATGTGTTGGTATGGGTAATTTTAAAAAATCATGGATTTATTTTTCAAGAAATTTTTTTTGAGAAAAGAAATCAGTTTTTCAGAAGCATTACTTTTGTATCTTATTTAAAACTTTGTGTGTGTGTGTGTGTGTGTGTGTGTGTGTGTGTAAACTCATCCTAAAATTATTATAGACTGAGTCACTTGGACTATTCTAATATAACTATCATGATAATATGTTTGTTGACCGACGCATTTGGTTAAAATATTGTTGAAAGGGGTATTTCTCTATAGACCCTCAGGTGAGTTTTGTTTTTAAATAATTGTGCATCTGAAAAGCCGTGTGCAAAAGAGCACTTTAGTATTAGACTTATGCATGTTTTAGCATAACTTATAAGTCAGATAGCATTTTTAGTTTCTTTTCTCTCTGGACCCTGATATTCTAGAAATCACTGTTTTCCACTATGTACACATCTCTGACTTTTGTTTTCTGACCTTTTTGGAGCTTCTCAACTAAACATCAATCTGGCAGACATGATGAGCCCACCTGTCTCTTTCAGAAAAGTTGTTTCCTAGTGTTGGATTATCACAAATAATCATACCACTGGGGGAAAAAATTGAATTTCTGGTGAAATGATGTAAAATTTTAATGAGTAAAATACTTAGGAAAAATTCCTGCCAAATTTATTTCCTGTCTTTCTTGCAATCTTTGCCTCATATGCCTTGTCAAAACAGGTCCAACTGATTATAGGATTATAATCATAATACCAAGAGAAAAAGTTAAGAATACACCAGCCGTGGCCACTCAGACACTTGCAGACAGAAGAGTAGCAAGGAAACTACTGTGTCTCTAGAAAAATTACAGCATTCAGACTTTGGTAGGAGAATGGGGCCAGAAATGAAGGAAATAGCTTTAGTGACAGCTCTCCAAAATGTGAAAGAGGTAACATACCACTAAAAGTATTTTTAGACAGGACAGCTGTTGAAAGTCTTACATCGTGTATCTGATGTTGAAATAAAATTTTTCAAAGAGTTAGAGGAACTCTCCAGAGAAAAATGCTGACACTATAATACTTATATATAAATTGAGATTACAAATGCAGTTAATGCTGGAATATGAAATTGCCTGTCCCAACACATCCCCAGTTCAAAACCTCAGAACTATTCAGTAGTACCTAAGGTCTGAGCAAGCTCAAACAGGTAGCCTGGGAGATATACCTTTCCCTCCTGCCGGATCGCGGCAACAGGTGTGGCTTCCTCTGCCTTTTTCCTTCTCTCCTCTTCCTCGTCACGTTCCTCCTCAGCCTTTTTCTCTGGAGTCACAGTGGTGATCAAGTTGGTCTGAGAGATGCCCTTTGTTGTAGCGTACTGGCCAGTACCAACCTCTGCAGCAGACACAGAATCCTTCATGTATATTTCATGGTTTTCATTCACTGATGCTAAAAGCGAATACAATTAAAGAAATCAAGTCTGAAATATTTACGTTAGAAGACAAATTCACACTACTGACAGTCTGATTATGGGGGCAACCCTATGAAATGCCAGATTTGTCTGGAAGACAAGTCAGAGCTACAGGTACCTGCATACCTTCCTTAGACTCATCTTTTGATTGACCGATGTGTTTTGAATGACTTAAATTTCTTGAAGCTACTAGGATAATTTCAACTGTGAAGACGTGTGTGAGGGGGACACGAGTGGAAGGAAGAGGGGCTGAGCCACCACAAGCCTGTCACCTTGTGGGGTGACTGGCTGGGAGGCTACAGCGCACAGAGAGTGGGTCCCACAGAATAATAGCTTCGCAGCATACAACTGCTAGAGTGCACTTGATTTTGAACAGATTTTTAAAAGTACCATTCACAAGGAATACTGTAAAGTTTACTGTTGCTATTATTATTAATGGGAGGAGAGTCTCGCATTATTATAATATTAAAACCTTAAGTATTAAATTCTTGGCAGAGATTATAAAATTCAGATGGATGGAAACTCTGCTCAACCGAAGCATGGAAATGTTTTGATTTCTATTGCACTTTAAAAAGACAGCCATAATTAATTTCTACTGCACTTTAAAAAGACAACTGTGATTGCATATACTCATTCATCTCTAAATCAAGAAAACAAGACAAATGTTGCTGCTAGGAAAATTCATGCAACTGGCAAAGCAAGCAAACACAAGAGATATAAACTGCAGCCTTTTGCCCTAGCTAAAATGTCTTAGTGAAAAAGATAATTACACTGAACAAATTTGTTACTCATTATTTAGACTTTAGGTATAAAAGGTCATTAAAACTTGCAAAATTTTAATATGCACTAGATGATTATAGGCAAAACATAATATGATTTTATATTTTAGAAAATCCAAAATATAAGTGATAAAAGGATACTAAATCCCTTTAATAGTAAACAATTTCACTAAAATATTTTCACTAAGATGCTTATGTCTATTTAGACAGATGAAAAAGCTCTTATGAGAAAGTTTCCCAAATGGAGCAGTAAGGCTGTTGAATATGAAATGCAACTTTGCAAAAAGAAGTTTATTTTGCAACATGCAAACATGACATCTAGCATAGCAGCACAAAACCATATTAGTAAGTGGCAGAACCCCAAGGAGTGAGAGACAACACATACAAACATCACTTTTGGGCAGGGAGAAAGAGACACATGATATTAGTACATGTATTTCACAACTGTCTCCTATCTTCTCAGCAATCATTATCACACAAAAATCATGGAGAAAACATTCACAAGCTATGTGTTCCCTTGGGCACACATCACTGAAGTAAAGACAAAGATATTTGGGGAAAAGGTGTAACTCTCCAAAGATTCTTTCAACAATGACATATAAAATAGATAAATTCAACTTAAGAAAGTCCCAATGAATATTTTATTCCAAAAGTTTGCTGAATTTTATTCCATGTTTAAAATCAGTAAACTCTTAGATAATACAGAACTGTAAGCAACTTCTTGGACCATTTCACACTAGTTTAAAAGAATGATTTAAAAATAAAACTATTAGTATAATTATTACAGGCACAGTGCTCACATGTATTTTATTCACTCTTCACCACTGATAAATATAGTGGACTTATTCTCACTTCACAGATGATGACATGAAAAATTGGCAGGAGAGTATCACTCACTCACATCACTACAATAAAGGGTTAGGAGTTCTGTCTGGATTTATCTATGGTAGGTGAGTATTCTTTCCACTTTCCCATAACATTTATCACATAGTACTAATAATGCAACGTAGAATTTTTTTTTTGCAAACTGTTCATAAGACATTCCATTAGGAAAATGCAGTCTTTTTGATCAGGGAACCAGGGAGCACACTGCCCCTCTCAATTGGTTCCAGGGTACAGTGAGCAGGAAGGGAGAGCTGGAACCCTATGTCCAGTGGTGGTAAAAACTCTAGGAGGAGAAGTGCCTGCAGGCACATACAACTTTTATTTATTATTATCATTTGTGTTTTTCTTCTTAAATTTATATGCACATGCTAGAAAACTCTATGTGCACTGGATAGGTCTTCTATGAAACAGTGGATATCCATCCAGGTGCTCTGAGTCAGAAGTCATGCCTGGCCATGACACATCCCTTAGCAGTGTTCCTATCACCGGCACACCTCAAAGCAGAATGCAAATCTGCATGGAACTATGGGCAGGAGTTCAAAACCATTACATAAAGAAAAAACCATCTAAAAATCCACTATTATGCCTATGCTGTTCCTTTAAAATGTGACTAGGTGTGACTCAAATTTACTTCTATGAATATCGTCCTTTCCTTATCAGTTGCTGTTCATTGAAACAGATTATACTTTATTCATAACATTTTTATAGATCGTTTTAACTTATACTTTTTTCTGAAACAATTAGAAATATGCTTATGGTCACATTTATGACTCACTAAGATCTTCTGGCAATAGAGTTAACTTTCTTATAGCAAGTGTGACTAGTATACTTAGGAAGAGGAGCATCTCTCTAAATTCAGGATGCTGGCCTATGAACTTTATCGTATTCATTTTCTAAGTATCATTCTTTGTATGTTTGTATTGTGACACTAGGGATCAAACCTGACAGATGCATAAAACGTATTCTGCCACTGAGCTACAAACCTGGCCCTATCATTTTATACATACTCTACCAAGACTGGAAATTAGACCCATGAAGATACTCAGTTGGTGTGTGTGGGGGGGATGCTAGACACTTTTCATTCAGTCATGGCACAACAAGTCCTTCTGGTTTCCTATTATATAAGAAAGTGCACATTTATGGGGCGCTCATGCCCATTCTGCTCTGCTTCTGGTTAGCTGCTAACAATTACTAATGTGTAGTAAGTAACACCAACCTCCATCCAAGCTTCGAGACATGGTGTAACGTTTGCTGGATGAGCGTTCAAAGTAAGGTGCAGGGCGATCTATCAACGCACTGGCTCGTCTCGTTTGGGCCTGTGTTCTGCCACTATAACGGAACTTGGAGCCCAAGGTGAGGAATTTCTTTGGAGGTGCTTCTGGTAATAAAAGTCTGCAGATATTAAAGAAAGAAAAAAGCCAGAAAGACTGTTAATCCAAACATTAAGCTTTAATATTTTACTCTTCTCTAAAAGGGAAATTATCTCATGTGCCATGGTTTCAGCACCCAATATAGAGTGAACGAATCTCAAGTTAAAATAAAACATCAATCTGTACAGTATATCATCAACAATGAATTCTGAGAACAGGACATATGAAACAGGCTAAGTTGGACTAAACGAACTTTAATATCCCATGCAACTGGAAAGTGCTTCTATAAACTAGAAGAGCATTTAATTAGTAGCAAGTAAATGAGTAAGAGTGGGAACTTTTACTTTTGTGAACATAATTCTGGGGACCTAGTATGGTATAGGAATAAAGGGGTCCTGGAAATTGAAAAAATTGTTTTTTTTTTCTTTTTTGACATACCAGGCAGTGCTTATGGCTTACTCTAGGTTCTACACTAGGTACTACCCTGGTAGTACTAGGGGCCAAATGGAACGCCAGGCTGGACACGTGTGAGGCAAATGTCCTACCCACTGTATTATCACTCTCGTCCGGGAATTGAAAAATTTCTGATACAGTAAAGAATGGGTCGAAAACCTAAGTAGGTATTCTTGGGTATCCTACTTGGTACTGAACTGTAGGACAGCTTTTAAAAGTAATAAAAGGAAGGGGAGATAAATACAAGACAAACTTAGCCAAGCAAGTAAAACCAGAGATAGACAAATGGGACTATCTTAAACTAAGAAGCTTCTGCACCTCAAAAGAAACAGTGACCAAAATACAAAGATTGTCTACAGAATGGGAAAGGATATTCGCTCAATACCCATCCGAGAAGGGGTTGATATCAAGGATATACAAAGCACTGGTTGAACTCCACAAGCATACAAGACAAACTAAGAAAGAACTGTAAATTTATTTAGATATTCTTTAAGTTTTTATAAAGAAATTTAGTAATAATGAACTTAAAGGGCTAGAAAAAATATGGTTCTGTATTCTTCCAAACAGTCTTTATCAAGTGGTTCTAGTCATTCTACTTAACACTTAGAATGAAATGACCTTTACCTACCTGAAAAATGTATGGTGTTCAACACAAACTTTCCACAAACGCTTTGCGGCTCGATGATTTGGCAGTTTAAACCCAATGGTGCTTTCAAATTGTTCAAACTAAATTTAAAAACATATAAAAGGACATAATTCAAGTTCAGAAGCATAAATGGAAGAAAAATAAACAATTTACAAAAATCATAATACAAGCCACAGGTAGTTTTTAGCCACTAAATTTGTTACTATACACAGATCTCATGCTATGCACATTCATTCATCTAAAAATAATCATGGAAGCTGTAGGAAGAGATCACTACATTATACTAGCAATTATGCTTTATGGACAAGTATGAATCTTATAGAAGCTAAATTTAAAAAGAGGGTTATCTGTATTGTTTTCATATTCAAATTTGTATGATCTAAGTTTTAAGTCTAACCTTCATGGTTTCTCCATGATATCATTAATTTAACTGGAATGTATATAGTCTGTAGTATACTAAGGATTATATTTTTCATATGTATCTGGTCATGAATTAATGTACATATACTAAGCATTTTATGACTTGCTATATCAGATACTGTTGATTTTATTTATGTTTTCCAATACAGATTACCTTTTTAACTGCTACTATCTCTTACTATTATATATAAGATCTGAGATTAGGAGAACATACTTAATATTTTCAGCATGTATCTATCAGATGTATTCAGCATGTATCTATCAGCTGTATTTTTCAGCTCGTTGATTTCTCAAAGTGAGACATTTGTTTTCAGGAGCAATATATTTTGATATATTATTGCAGATACTCAGTAGCGCTGTAGCACTGTCCTCCCGTTGCTCATTGATTTGCTTGAGTGGGCACCAGAAACGTCTACATTGCGAGACTTGTTACTGTTTTTGGCATATCGAATACACCACAGGGAGTTTGCCAGGCTCTGCTGTGCAGGCAGTATACTCTCAGTAGCTTGCTGGGCTCTCGGAGAGGGGCGGAGGAATCGAACCCAGGTCGGCTGTGTGCAAGGTAAACGCCCTACCTGCTATGCTATCGCTCCAGCAGATACTCAGTAAATTTTTTATTTTCTAAAGATGTATCAGTCCACCAGGGGGCAATCATCTTAAATAGTAAAGATTTTCTCTAACACTACAGAATAAAGTAATTTATATGGCAAAGAATGAGGGAAGGTGGCTTATATACAACTAGTGTCATTTAATTAAGCTGGCTCTCTAGTTCTTTGTTGATGGACACTTGGAGGAGTAAGACCGGAAAATGCGTCAGATTGCTGAAACTACATCTGCTCCCCCCCCGCCCCCTGGCCATTCCTTACTCTCTCTGGATATCCAGATCCAGTTAAAAAATTCACTACTGGACAGTGAACCCAGAGAGTACTAGACATCTTCATTAAGCCATCTTGCAACTATTTATTACACATACAACAAGGGCTGGCGTGAAAGCACAGTGGTAGGGCGTTTGCCTTGCACATGGCTGACAGGGTCAACCTGAGTTCAATTCCTCTGCCCCTCTCGTAGAGCCTGGCAAGCTACCGAGAGTATCTCGCCTGCACGGCAAAGCCTGGCAAGCTCCCTGTGACCTACTCGATATGCCAAACACAGCAACAAGACTCACAATGTGGGCCCACTTGAGCAAATCGATGAACAATGGGAGGACAGTGATAGTGACAGTGATAATAAGTAGTAAGGTCAAATAAGTACAAATAAGTGTGACCTCACTTGGTACTGTTAAGAAGCCAGAAAAGACTCTCTTACTGCTCTCCTGCTGAGCCCTTGCACGTTCTGAATCTCATGTGTTCCCCGTGCTCTGCACCTATGTCTCTCAACTTCTTCAGAGCTTTTGTACCAAGAATTCCTTCACACTCACACTTCTCAGCTATAAATACGGCTATTAAAAAGGGGAAGAAAATAACTTAGAGCCTGCTTGCTTCTGTATAAATAAGAAGTCCATTTCCTTGCTCACTGCTCTACCTCCTGAAAGAGAAACCTTGGTTCATTAAAACCCAGCATGGGACTCTACCCTTCAATGTCACAGTTGGATCTGATCATCAAATACAAAGCAAGGGAACAGGCAGGCAAGTCAATGAAAATAAACCCGTGGGTTACAGCTGCAGAACTGAGGCACCGGAAGGGAGCAAGTTCCAAGGGAAGAGGGATACCAATGGCTATTGATGCTTTATGGTAATACAATTTTGCTTTAAATATTATTCGAATTTTTAAAAGAAACATTTTATTAATGTATGCAGTGTGAAAAAATGGGAAAAAATGACATTTGATTTTTTAATGCTTATTAGACAGACCAAACATAAAAGTCTACCTACAGCTAAGTTCTCATGGGCAGACGGAATTCAAGATATCTACGATGTCCAGACCTTATAAGAAGGCAATTTAAAGTTTCATTTGCTATCAGGCACTGTTCTTCCCAATCTAGACACAAATTTTGAGCCCACTTACCTCTCCTGGCCGGATCTTAATGTAAAAGTTGTTCCGTTTGTATGAAATTTTTAGAACCTTTGGCCAGGCAAATCTGTTTATTCGCAGTCGGTCCCGATATATCAGCAGGCCACTGGCACAAACTCCTAACATAATCTCTACTCCCTCAGAATCCTGGAAAACAGCAGCAATAAAGAACAAATCAGTATCTTGCTTATTTTCATTTACAACTGGATCCAAGATTTAAGACTTCATGACAGAAGGTGTAATAAGCTGCCTCTAACTTTAATTTATATATAAAAATATAGAAGCAATTTTTAAACATTACCACTAAATAACCATTTTTTTAATGAGGATATTTGTCACTAGAGAGATTTCAGAGTAAAATCTGCTTACCCAGGAATCTGAGACTTCTGATGCAACAGTACATACAGAGTCCAACCAGATGAATATGCATTAATAACAGTAATGGTAATGCCTGTAACTCTCGTGATTGAATTTCAGGCACTGCCTAAAAACATTACTAATGGTAACTCTCTTAATCTTCATTAGACTATTTCCAGATAGTTGCTAGCATTATCCCTATTTTACAGATGAGAACCAGTTAAATGTGAACCATCTGCTTCCAGAGGCAGGATTCCTTTTCTTGGAGTGTGTGTGTGTGTGTGTGTGTGTGTGGTGTATGTGTGTATACACCTTTCTCCAGAAATGCTAGGGGCCAGGAGGGCTACCACTTGCTGGCTCTTTGGGTGCCACCAGGGGCTGGGGATCAAAACAGGGGTCACATGCATGCCAGCTCTGCCCTCTGCTCCAGCTCTGAGCCACCTTTCGAGCCCTGGAGGCGGAACACTTCTAACAAGTACAGGAACTCCTTACGCCATCACTAGTGACAGAAGTCATCAAAGCAGGGTTTTGAATAGGTCCCTCATTTTCTTCAGTGTTGGTGGGGCTTTTTTTCTTATCAATGTTATAACAAAGGGATATCAAACAAAACATTATTAGAAGACCGTGGAGGTGATCAGGTGACCATATCTGGTACCAGGGATCAAACAGCATCAAGGTAAGCGCCCTACCCACTGTATTATCTCTCTGGCCTTTGTATTTTTTATCTTTAAGTTTTCCTAGGGATGTATGATAAGAACTCTCAGAGGTAATCAGAGGCATCTGACAAAGTTCAGGAGACACAGCTATCCATGGTCTATCCCTCAAAATGCTGTGGTAAAGTCAGAGTAAGCAAACACCTTGAAGGCCTTGAGCGGGCTGATATGGACAGAGCAGGACTCTGGGGTGCAGTTCCCCCTCTAGTCTGGGAGCTGGGAGCAGGGTACAGAAGGGAAACAAAGCTAAGGTCTCTGTTACATGATTTGGCAGGGCTGTTCCCCGCTTTGAAGGGCTCCGCAGCAGGAGCGAAGGGGAAAAGGGAAAATAGAAGAATTCAGAAGAGTTTCTGACTCATCTGTGCTCTGGAAATTGACTTTCTAAGCTCTCTTATGTCAGGGTACAAGATAAATACTTCTGGAAATCAAAAAGTAAACATGTTGGGCTCATCTCTGAGAAATCTAAGCTTACAAATACAAATTTAATGGTTTAAAATGAAACATTTTGCTTTGGAAATGAATCACTCCATTAGATATGAAATTATTGCAAAGAAAATACCTGATGGAATTTGTATTATAGTATAATAGAAACTTGAGGATAGCCCAAGACTAGAAGCTACTCATCACTTAGCCAGATCTTTAATTGGAAAGAGCAATAACCTGGTGCTGATAAGAATCTGCCATCATGGAATCTTTGGAACGAGTTATTCTGTCACATGGCAGCTCAGGTGACCCTCATGCCAGGAACAGAGGCAGTTATTCTGTCTGAATAACTACTTTGAAGTACGAAGTTAAGCTTATTAAATATATGTCTGATCTACTAAGAGACAGAATATTATAAATCTTTTTTTCACTATTATCTGTTTTTTTATTTTGTTTTGTGTCTCACTGACAATACTCAGGGCTTATCCCTCCTACTGGTGCTCAGGGGGCCTTATGGGGCTTGGGGGGGGGACCGAACCTGAGTTTGTATTATCACTCCCGCCTTTGTTTCCATATTGTTTAGCTACCTAGGGAAGATGCTAAAGAAAAAAATCATTATTTTCTTTTAAAATCCTCATTCTGCCCTTATGCTTGGCATAAAATATAAAACATTTTTTTTAAATCTCAGTGCAAAATAGGTGGAAAAAATATAGTCATGGTTGGCAAGTAAATAGATCTGCACCTGCCACTATAATTACACACAAATGTCACAGAGCTGGGCATTCACTGGCGCATCCTTGGGAGAAGTTGCAGCCAAATTTTTGTGAGTATGCTGGTCCCCAGATGATCAGGCCTTAAAGATGTTTAGCCCGTGCAATGTACAGCATGACACAAAGACATAACCAAGCAGTTCTGCCTCTGTTTGGGTCACCAATTAAAGTCCAAAGTCACTGTGAATTTCTGCTTTCCAAATACCAAGTAGTGACCAGCTCCACTCCATATCAACAGAACCCTAAAAGGGAGATTTCCCTGCCAGGTGTCCTCAGGCTTGTTGAGCGGTTTGACTAGAGCCAGCTAAAACTTGCCTCCTTTTTTCTGGCCTTCAACTTGCTTGTGCAAGATACTTGCCTGCCTGGAAACCTCTTAATAACTTCATGTTCTTGTGAGTCCCAGACCGTGAAATTGGTAACTACTCAGTTCATCAGAAATGAAAGGTCTATTTCTATACAGGAGTGATGCTATCTTGTCAGCCCAAATCTGCAGAAAGTGCCTTGAGCTTCAAACACCCATCTTTTATCTTTTTAATGCTGCTAAAGTATCAGAATCCATCAAGGTCCTAATAAATTTCATATGTTTTCATGATAAAAGTTTTCCTAAAAGCATGCTTGGACTTTCACAGAACTGCTATTCACAGGTGTTCAAAGAGCAGGCTAATAGTGGAGGTGCTCAATTCTTTCGCTGCTAAAAATTACAGAGATTCTAGCAAAAGAATAACATCTCACAACCCTAGTCTTTCTATAGTCCCATTCCAAGATATTTTTTCCCGAAACCCTAAAATGTGGGAGGCCTGGGTTTGATCCTTTGAATGACAAGGTCCTCTGAACCTTTAGGAGTGACCCCAAGTACTGAGTCAGGAATAGTCTCTGAGCACTGTCAGGTGTGGCCCCCAAACATAAGAAAATGTCAGACATAGAATGGTCTTTCATATGTGGGATACAAAGAGACATAGTAGTGGTATAACAAATACCCAAAAGCAACAGAAACCAAGAAGTGGTCTTTGGTAGAAAGTTCACCAAAGGGATGGGGTGGGAAATTAGGGTGGGATGGGTACTGACAATGGTGGAGGAAAGAAGCCCTTGGGAGAGGGTGTGGAGAGAGGGACTTCATGAATGAAGTCCTATTGTGGACAGGACTGTAAACTACAGTGTCAAAAATAAAATTGTAAAAAGCAAAACACCAAATGAAAGAAACAATATTCCGTTAAAACAAACAAAACCAAAGAGCCAAACCAACAGCAAAAATGAGTATCTAAATTTAAATGTGACTGAATTTACTTAGTGCTGGATTAAGTAAGTTCAGAACAGTCACCACAGTATATCTCACAAAAATAGCTATGACAATTACTCATGGGCAAAAAGGATGGAGAGGGCACATTCAGAGAAGATGCAGAGATGAGGTGTGGTGGGAGTGGACGGCATGTATTAGCACAACTAGGAGGGCACAACAGACAGGGAAGACAGACGAGTTTGGAGCTATTTATCTCAAATATTTGCAAATCAAGGCAACTGGAGGCTTTGTGCCATGGGTTTTTGGCAAGTTAAGGTTACGAATCATGTGAGTTTGAGGTAGAACAAAGTTCCCAGAAAAATAGCAGAAGAGGGATAAGTTTGCTTCAACACTAAACAGAACTTAGAAGGAAAATGAAGATTTGAATCCTAAAAAGTTGTTTTTATACTAACTGAAAGAAAAATCAACAGTTGGTAATAACACAAACATTAAATTAACACTTTGAATTAAAATACAAAGTTTGGTGTGCAAAATGTACATACCTTGGCATGATGTAAATCTACTCCATACATGGAGAGCTTTTTGGCGTTTTCCAAGAAATGCATTTCTGCTTCTGCTGGTGTCATTCCTCTGATAAGGAAAGAAATTCAACAGAATTACAAAAAGGTTTTTCCTTTTCCTGTCAGGGCTCCAATGTTGCCTATTTCTCTCCCTGGAAATAAGAAACAACCTCCTTCACCCCTTGTCTCACCTTACCACCTCCCCTCCCCCAACACACACACACCAGTAGATTTTTGCTCTGATGGAGGGGAAATAATAACCATAAGAGAAGGATGAAGAAAATTTAGGGTCCAGAGATAATTCAGTGGGTAAGGTGCTAACCTTGCACTTGACCAACCTGGGTTCAAACCCTAGCACTGCTTGTGGTCCTCTGAGCACCATCTGGAAAGATCCCTGAGCACAGAGCCAAGAGTAAGCCTTGAGCACCCAAAAAAGAAAACATTACAAATGGGTGTTGCAAGGGAGAATTCCAATTGCTTTTTTTTTCCTGCTTGTTTTCTGGCACTGGTAGTGCTCTTGGATCACTCTTGATGGGGTTCCGGGGACCATATGGGCTGTCAGGGATCAAATCCAAGTCTGCCACATGCAAGGCAAGTGCATTACCCGCTGTACTATGCCCGGACCTTGGAGAATCCCAAATTGTACCAGACAGAACATCACTCTTCTGAAGTCCCATCTTCAATTCACTGAAAGCAGTTGGGGAAGGCAGCAGGAGAAATCCTCCTCCAAGAAGACACCACTTAAGCAGGAAGCTCTTAAGGGCTCTACACCCACCTGTGGCTCTTATGTAGCTCGATCACTTTATCTTCCAGTTCCTTCGTGTGATTTGGGGCAAAGCGGAACTCACTAATGTAATCATTGCCACATTCATCCGGATCATAGTCACCAAGTTCTGACTGGACAGTGTAGGAGCCCAGCAGGGCAAGGGTGACAAAGGAGCAGGGTAGCCTTCCTGACACGATGTCATCTCGCAGCTGTAAGCAGAGGTAGTACCTTTCGAGAGCCAAAAGGACAAAGCAGAAACCAGCATTAGGACATGCGAAGAGACTGTCCAGCATAATCTGTGCTGCAAGCAGCTTCCCCCTGTCAAGTAAGCCTCCAGACGAAACATTTTTCTAGCATCTGTCTTTTGAACTAGATGTAAGGGGAAAATATTTGGCAGCTAATAAATACAATATTAAGACAAAACTAGGTTTAATTAGCAAAGCACAGAGTGGAAGGAACCTAAAGGTCTCAAATACTACTTTAAAGTATAGTGAATAATCCAACACCTCCCTGAAATTTCTGGTTGGGAGAAGTAGAATACATGAATAGTGCAACTATTTTATTTCAGCTAGTCATTTAATTTCAAGGTCTTGACATATGTCCAAGACTAAATTCAATGATCACACTATCAAAAACTTTTTCTGCATTCCTGATAGTCCTTTCTTAATAAAGAATTGTTCTATCTCAAATATTTGGTTTAAAATTTAATCTGTAGCTATAATGACAACTAAGAAAGAGTCCAAGAAGTAAACCTTAACACTGATGAGTTTTAATAATATTTTTAATGGTCCAGCATATGAGAATAATAATAGAACACAATTATAACTTCACGTAAGAACCTCTGTATCACTGTCCTCCTATTGTTCATCAATTTGCTCAAGCAGCACCAGTAACGTCTCACAACAAATTGTGAAACTTGTTGTTACTGCTTTTGGCGTATCGAATATGTCACAGGTAGCTTGCCAGGCTTTGCCATGCGGGCGAGATACTCTTGGTAGCTTGTCGGGCTCCCTGAGAGGGGTGAAGGAATCGAATCTGGTCAGCCAGGTGCAAGGCAAATGCCCTTCCCGCTATGCTATTGCTCCTGCCCAAACTCTAGGTAATCCATAAATAAAAATTTCTTAATATTTCAAAGACTCCACAAATACTACTAAAATAAGAGAGAATTATGCACAAAGCTTCAAATCCAGATATAACAGGCTCTGTATATAACTTCATGCTAGACCCAGTTAAAAAACACATCAGTATTACTAAAATGTATCTTTAAGAAATTATAAACTTTCTCTGGTTTAATGTAAATAAAGAAGGACTACTGTGAAACTAGTTTCATACTTTTAATATGTCTGATGAAATTATTTTTCTTTAGTTAGGTTTTGGGGCCACACTTAGAGGTGCTCAGGGCTTGCTTACTCATGGTTCTGCACTTAGGGACAACTTCTGGCAATGCTCTGGGGACCATATGGAGTTCAGGGATCAAAGTACTTTACCTGCTATACTCCTGGCTTTGTGCTCAAGGCTTACTCAGGGGAATGGGAATTAAACAAGGTATCAGGAATTGAATCAGGGTCAGTTGTGTGTGTGCAAGACAAGCATCTAAACCCTTGCAATATCTTTTGAACTCTGATTTCTCTTTTAGAAGAACTTTCCAGAAGGATGTGAGGCTAACACAGAAAACTGAGCACAGACTGCACAAAATCACCTTGTCTTGCTACAATTTTACTATCAAACAGAGCAAGAGCTGGGAAATACAAAGTCAAAAGCAGAGAAGCCCCAAAAGACATATGGTAAATCCATGATCATCTCTCATTTCTTCTCGTATTCAAAGTTCAGTCAACATGTCTAAATTTAATGTCGGACCCCCTTTTTTCATGTCTTTTCTTAAAATGAATCTGTCATGTATAAAATCTTATACAATGAATTCATCATTTCATAAAACGAATTTATCCATGTACTACATAGGGTATAGGAGATAAATTCTTATATATCTATGTTTATGGGTACACATGTATATGTGTACATGATTTTTTGAAATAGCCATGAAGTATAAGGATCTAAAGACACACTTTTACTTTAAATTTTGAAGAAGGAGCACTATTTATCATTTAAAGCTGAATCCCATCCAATCTGGCAGTTGGGAGTGGATGGGAGTATCTCAGTTCTGCATGTTTCCCCACCAAGGTCAGGCAGACAGAAGTTTCAGCTTAGCAGTAAAAATTCAAGTGTGAACAGCTCTGACTTTGGCAGATCTCATCAGATGCTTGCTCTCCTTCAGCTGCCTTTTGCTTGCCACTTTAGGCAGATGACTGGTTTCCCGATGTAAGCATGCTCTTCCTTAGGGAATCTGAGAGAAGCACAGGACGCCTCCAAATGCCTGCCTTTCTCATAACCACTTTCAAATACCTGGTGATATCTTCAGATAGCTGAGAGGGGTCTGGTGGATAAAATTTCACATTAAAGGAAAAGTGCCAAGCACCACCTACAAAGAAGAGAAAACAATTACAACAAACCCTTTAAAATCCTCTTAGGCTTTTCTTACGCTGATAGCAAGGAATGCCTTAACTCCAAGTACTGACTTAAATTGAGAGAAGAAAGTCTCCCCTGAACAAAACCAAAAAAATAAGTCTGAAATTTTATCTAATTTCTGATCTTCTCTTCAATCAAATCCTTTATTGACACTTTTTTATTTTTGGCAAAGGAGGGGGCTGGTGGCTGGGACCACATGCATCTGTGCTTGGGAACTACTTACTCCCAGCTGTGGCTGGGAGGGACGAGGTCACTCCAACAGGCTCAGGGGACCACACAGCCATCTGAATGCAAGGTAAAAGGCCTTAACTCTGTACTCTGTTCCTGCCCCACACCAGTAGTTCTAAGAAGCCAGAAAATTGACCACACTTTTCTCGGGGATAAAGGTAAAACGTGAGAGAAGGAAACATGTGAATGATATGGAAAATTCTTGACCAGGCAAGTCTGGAATTGACTGGACCCATTGTTATAAAGTTCATATTTGGATAGTTCACATAAAACTTTACAAACATAATTTTATTTCCTTTGTCCTTTCTACTTTGTTATTACAGGTTATTTATATTATAGGTAATTCTATATCATTATAATAAATGCCAAGGAAGTGTTTATGATAAGTTTGTGATAGAGAACATTAATGAAGTTGCTCTATGGGCTACTTAAATTTTTAGTGATGAAATTTCTGATTAAGGAAATTTCAATATTTACTATGAGTTTTCCAGATTCCATAGCTCTTTTTTAAATCCCTGACTTGAACTACTCCTCATTATGCATTAAAGGCATACATCACCTTATTACATCTCATAGTGCTCTGTGTGTGTATGTGTATGTATGCATATAAACACATGCACACATTTTTTTCAAGATACTCCATCATCAAAAGAATTATAATTCATGCTAAGGAGGTAATGGTTAACATTTTTCTTGGGCAAAGCATTTTTAAAATTAAGGTATGTACAGTGTCATTTTAGGCACAATGATATTGTATATTTTTTAGTGTTGTATATATATAAACATGTATGTATTTAGTATATATTATACTAAACTACAAATATAAATATATAAGTATATGTAAATATATATTTATACAAAAGTATATATTATATAAATACACAAGTATATATACTAAACATGTATATATTATTTTATAGTCATATATAAATAACATGTATATATGTATATATAAACTTCACTTTTATATGCACTAGGAAACAAAATAATTCACATAACTCACTTCATACTGAGGCAATTCATTGAACCCACCCAAACCGAACCCTCAATATCTACTATTCATTTTTTAATTTTGGTTTTGGTTGCACCTGAGGTAGCAGGAGCTACTTTTTGACTTAGTAAACGGGATTACTTCCAGTGCTCAGGGAACCATGTGGTGTCAGGCCTCCTGCAAGCAAAGCATGTGCTCCAGTTCACTGTGCAATCTTGCAGAATCTGACCAATACATTCTTAAAATACACTGGAGCGATAGTACAGCAGGCGAGGTGTTTGCCTTGCATGTGGCTGACCCTTGAACCAACTCTGGAAATCCAAATGGTCTCCTGAATACAATCAGAAGTGATCTCTGAGCATGGAATCATGAGTAAGCCTTGAATACAGCTGGGTATAGCCCCTAAACAAAAAAGTTATAAGTGTTCACCCACTCTATGATATCTTATAGGTTAGTATAACCTTATAGGTTATACTAACTTATACTTAGTATAGGTTATATCGGTTAGTATAGGTTATACTAACTTATACTTAGTATAAGCTTATAGTATAACCTTATAGCTTATAGGTTAGTATATAGGTTAGTATCCACACAGAACTATCCACACATAGAGTTATGTAAAATGTAAGTCTATATATTTTAAAAAATAATACTTTCCATAATCATATACAGTACATCACTATAAAGTTAAAAAAATTATCTATACTATATCATGTGATCAATCTTTTCGTTTAAATAAGCTTTTTTCGTCTGGGCTTCATAGAAATTTACGAAAGTCTGGGTTTTCCTTCAATGTTACAGTGTACTGTTTGTTTTTGTTCTTTGACTGCCTAAGTCCAGGACCTGCTTGTATTCTGAATGAGGTCCTGAACAATTCCCTCCAGGATCCTTGATTTATACTCGGAATGTAAGCCCTCCTGGGTTTGCTCTTCTCTATGAATCTGTACTCATAAACTCCAGCCTTAATGCTTCAGATACTTGGATACTCCCAAACACCTCTTTCTCCCCATTATAAATGACTTCTGGAAACTGCATTTTCTCCATGAGACATTTTCAATCATTCAGCAGAAAGGGACAACATTAAAGTACTTCCAAACATTTCTTTCTTTATAAAAAAGGACACCATTTTTTTTGCATCTGTGGTAAATGCTGTGGATAATTTTTGTGCTTCTGTTACAAAAGGCATAAACCCACTTATTAATTCTAGTGTTTTCATGAAACTTCCATTCATACCATGCGTAAGGTTTCACATGCCAAAGAGTTTTTTTAGGTGTATTTTAAAGAGACATAAAAACAGCTATTATGGAGTGCTGAATACCATATATTTACATGGTTCAGAAAATACTGTTGAAGTAAAGACTATAAGAATTATTCCATAAAATATCTGTCACTCAAATACAATTCCACTATTTCCCCCACTATTCTCAAAAAGTACTGTTTTTATTCTAAAAATAGTCTGATTTGGTTTTACGTTCTGTTTGATTCCTATTCACTTTCTGATAAAAACAATTTCTTTAATGCTTGCCAATGATAAGGTTTATAATGACAACTGGTTTTCTCTTAAGCAAGTGGAATTACAACTAATGGATTAGTTATAATAATGCAAGTGTTACTCTTTAAAAATGTTTACCCACTTCAAAGTATACCTTGGGTCAGATAAGCAGTTTGGTAGTATAATTAAACAATCTCATAATAAATTCAGGATTGGCATTCTGTTGCAATAAGTAATATATGTACAAGAAAGATACTTCAGTGCAAAATCTTCATTTTAGAGATGTGAGTTTCAAACTAGAGTGGGCTAACATAGCATCTCAGGTGCTGGCTTTAAATATCATCTTCACTACTTAGCAGATTATCATTATCAGATGGTTTCATGTATAGGTAATATAAAACAAACACAAATATACTCTGAGAAAAAAATCGTAGCAATGAAGCAGCGGATGAAGGATGAAGGGATAGTATGAATGGTGCTAGAACTGTGGGCTGAGTGCAGCAAGCTAGTACAGGAAGTGATCAAGGTTTGAAGTTACCCTCTTGAAACAGTACTGCAAATAGCAGATCAATAAGATTTTATTTTAATGGTAAAATAAAACACTAAGTTCTGTTGCTCAAATGTCAATTTCTAGGCTCCACCCACAGATCTTTATCCTTAGGACTTCATATATTGTCTAGAAACATGTGATTTGAATAAGGCCCATTTTGTGGTTCTTTTTGTTTTTGTTTTGTTTTGTCTTGCCACAGCGGGCAGTGCTCAGGCTTATTCCTGGTTCTGCAGTCAGGAATCACTCCTAGAGATGCTCAGGAGACCCAAGAGGAATAGGGATAGAACCTGGTGGGCCCTTTCTGTGGTTCTCACAGTTGGTTTGGAATCTGAACTTTGAGAAGCATTTCATCCCAAGAAATCTATTTTCCAAAGAATAATTCCCAAGATTATAATCTAACTACAAAGTTTCATGGGATATTCTGAAACAAGGATAAGTTTAAGAAGACTACAATCAACAAATCAAGAAAAGAAAATCCTACTAAATTTGGCCAAAAACTTGAAATGAGAGGTAGATTAAATCTGAGAAACAAAAAAAAATCCTCAGAAAAAAATTTTGTTAGGAACGAGCCAATTTTTTTTTTATTAGACTGACAATAAATGGTTTTGTAAATGGGTATGGTCAAATGGTTGCCCTGGTGAGAAACAGAAAGTGACACATCTTTTGAACGCATTTAAAATGTTATTTCTGTAGTGTTGAGACAGAATTTAAACTTAAAAAATTACAACAAATAAAAGACTGTGAAAATAAAATTTATTCCTATGAAAAAATTTTAGCCTTTTCTACCAGTGAAATCCTAAAATTTCTAAACATACTGCATTTGTAGCATAAAATACTACATGTCATAATGCATATCACAAAAGTGTGTGTTTGAAATTTGAATTTATTCCTGGAACTGCTTCTGCTTCAGATTTTTCTTATAAATGTGTAATTTAACATCTTCGTCAGCTGATTACTGTTCTCTTAAAAGTATCTAGATAGAGACATATAGACGCTATAGCAACACAATATACACGCTATAGCAATAAAAACACAACATCCTATTATTTCTTTTATATTTAGGTTCAAAATGACTGCATAAGTAGAAGAAAGCACTTCTTTGTGTGGCAGGTTATAATTTTTTGAAAAGGTACTTTTTGAGCATAGAAAACAAGGAATATAGATTAACATATCTAATGTCATTTGTTAGTTTTGAAATTTCCTTTTTCCTCCTTTATCTGCAAAATTTTCACTTTTTCTTTCTTTCTTTCTTTTAAGTCATATACATGTTTAATCTATAAGATGAAAATATTCCTTAAATCTCACGTTCTGATGATGGCCACTTAATACCTGTTCTGCAAACCATAACACCCAAAAGGAAAGAGAGTAAAAGGGAATGGTCTGCCACAGAGGCGTGGGGGGGTTATGGAGAGGGGGGTGGTGAGTGGGGGGGTGGTGGGAGGGATGCTGGGAACATTGGTGATGGAAAATGGGCACTGGTGGAGGGATGGGTACTCGATCATTGTATGAATGAAACGTAATCATGAAAGCTTGTTAAGTCTGTAACTGTATCTCATGGTGACTCATTAAAAAATTTAAAAAAAAATCTCATCTTCTGATTATAGCTTTCTTCTCTGAGAACTGAAAATATGAAACAGGATAAATAAGAAGTTAGGGGTAAAAATAAGTCCATTAGCAACAAAAAGGAAAATAAGCTGCTTATGCTCTCTATCTTATAAAATATTACGATTCATTTTTGAACATTTTACATATTTTCTTACGCTATTTTTAATCGCAAAACTACAAAACATTCCATTAATTAGTTGAATACAGAGAACTTTACACCTACAAAATGTGGTGATAAGTATCAATAAATTTGCTTTTAATAATTCTGTAAGAGGATTTTTAAAAATAATTTTTATGTTAAACATTTTATCAAAACTCTTCAAATAAAAAAGAAGTAATTTTACCTACTTATCACAGCTGTAACTGTGACTGATTTCAATCCCAATTTATTTTGATAAATTTCCTTCACTATCTACTTTCTGGTAGTGAGTATGTCCAATTTCTCTCATAAATATGGTGAAGGTATTTTAAATATAAATTAAAATAATATCTAGATATTATTATATAAGCTATATATAATAATATAAATTATAATAATATCTAGAAGACAGCAATCTTTAAAAACTTAGAGACTATCTATTATTCTAGTATACCATTTCAAATTGTTTATTAGTACTTGGAATATTTTAAAATTTCAGGATACTCAAAAGTACTAGAAGTGTTGCTCTTCTCTCTTTTAATATTAAACTATTGAAACTTCTATGGAATTGATACTCCTAACAGTAAACTTGTCTTAATGTTATTCAGTGAAAATTAATAGTCCAACAAAGCTAAGCATATTGATTACATTAAACATCTAACTAATTGGGAGCCATAGGCATAGTACAGCAATAAAGAGCTTGCCTGGATGCAGTTCACCAAAGTTCAACTTCTGGCACCCCCCAGTTTTCCAAGCATTGCCAGAATCAACACCTGAGCACAGAGCCAAGATTAAGCCCTAAAGATGGCTGGGTATGGCCCCCAATCAAAATAACAATTTTAAGTTATCTTAAATTAGAGAGATTGGGACTAGGAAAGAATATTAGCTCAGCAGTACAGCATTTACTGTGCATGTGTAAGGCAGTAACACACATAAAAAATATTATAAATTAATTTTGTGTACAGTAAAAGCAGTGGCTGTGTAAGAGAGTTGAAAATATCCTAAAATTCCTTTCTTAACTTCCTGTACTGTCTTGTACTTCTTGAAATCATTAAAATCGAAAGCTTTCCTGCTTTTCCAATTTTTTTCCATGACTCTCTATATACATACATTTCTTTTAAAACAAATTATTTGTTTCAGGGTTGCAGATATAGTATGGTGGATAAGGCACTTGTCTTGCATGTGGTTGATCTGGGTTTTATCTCTAGCACTACATACAGTCCCCTGAGCACTTCCAGAAGTGATCTCTGAGTGCAGAGCAAGGAGAAAGCTTTGAGCACCACCTGGTGTAATCTCCCCCACCCCCCACCCCAACACCCTGGCAATAAGCAAAGAAACACCTCAGTAGTAGTGTTGCTCTTGTATCAGTCAGGGGGGAATTGTATGATCCTCTGTTCATCCTAGCTTGATGTCTGGATTGGTGGCCAGACTCGTTTCATGCTTGGGGCACAAAAAAATAAGCCAAAAAAATCCAAATATGATTTGTTTTGCTAATGATTTAATATAAATAATTTAACTGCTAAGAGCTAAGATTTATTTACTATTCATTTTTTAAATGTATAAATATGAAGGTTCTTAGTTTTCTAGCATAGACAATAATATAGTAAACTTTCAATGTGTATAAGTTTCTTATATATATACACATATATAAATAAATAAACATACCTATGTATCTATCTATCTATCTATAGGATACATTCCTCAAAGTAAAACAAAAGATCAAAGAATATGCACATACAAAATTTTATATTGAGAAAGTTTCTTCTTAGATTGTTGCACCAATTTATACATTTAACATTGTGTACATAACTGCCAAAGTAATATATTATTATTAAACTTTAAAAATCCCTTTAAAGCTCTGCTAATCCAAATAGGTTAAAATTGATATTCAGTTTAAATTTGCATTTAATTTAGATTTAGCCCCTGCTTTAATACTTACTAGCTATTTGCATTTCACATTTTTTGGGTTTCTCATGCACTTATTTTCTTTCAGAAATCTCTCTCTTGAACAGACAACTGGCTTGAAAAAAAAAACACTATGCTACATCTACACAATTGTATAAGACCCAGCTGATAGGAAAAATAAAGTTGTGAAATTTGCTTATAAATGGACGGACATGGAGAGGATCATGCTGAGTAAAATGAATCAGAAGGAGAGGATCAGATATAGAATAACTGCATTCATGTGCAGGATATTAAAAAAGTAAATATATATAGTGTGAGACTCATATTCAAGGCCAGAGAAAACAGGGGCCGGTAGGACTGGTCAATGTTCTGAAGTTTGCCACAAAAGTGTCTGGGGGGCAAAGGGCAGGTAGAATAGAGAAGAGATTAGTATGACAAAAAAAGAGTTAGAAATGATCATTTTGGACAGGAACTGAGTGTTGAAAGTAGGTAAAGGGATATACCTGATAACCTTTCAGTATCTGTATTATAAACCAAAATGCCCCAAAGAAAAAAAGAGAGTGAGGGAGGGTAGGGGAGAAAAGTGTCTGCCATAGAAGCAGGTCAGGGGGTGGGGGGAGGGAAATTGGGGATAGTGGTGGTGGGAAATGTGCTCTGGGTGAAATGACAGGTGTTGGAACACTGTATGACTGAAACCCAATGATGAACAACTTTGTACCTGTTCATATCACTGTGATTTAATTAAAGAAAAAATCCAGAAGTGGTATTGTTTGGTCATATGGAAGATCAATTTCTAGTTTTGGAAGGAAGGTCCATATTGTTTTCCAGAAAGGCTGGACCAGTCGGCATTCCACCAACAATGAAAGAGAGTCCCTTTCAACCCACATCCACACCAGCACTGGTTGTTCTTGGTTGTTTTTTTTTTTTTAATGTGTGCCAACCTCTGTGGTGTGAGGTGATGTCTCACTGTTTTGATTTGCACCTCCTTGATGATTAATGACGTAGAGCAATTTTTTATGTGCCTTTGGGCCATTTGTATATCCTAGGGGTGCAAAAAAGCACAGTTGAAATGACATCTGCAACTGTATGTTCATTGCAACACCGTTCACAAGCCAGAATCTGGAAACAATGCGGCTGCCCGAGAACAGAGGACTAGTTTAAGAAACTTGTACATGTACACAATGGACTACAATGCAGCTGTTAGGAAAGATGAAGTCATGAAATGTGCTTATAAGTGGATGGACATGGAAAGTGTCATGCTAAGTGAAATGACTCAGGAAGAGAAGGACAGACATAGAATGATTACACTCATTTGTAGAATATAAAATAGTAATATGAGACTAACACTCAAGGACAGTAGACACAAGGGCAAGGAAAATTGCTCCATGGCTGGAAGCCTGCCTCATGATCTGGGGGAGAAGGCAGCTGGGATAGAGAAGGGATCATTAAGTCAATGATGGTTGAAGGGATCGTTCAGGATGGGAGATGTATGCTAAACGTAGATAAAGGACCAAACATGATAGCCACTCAGAAGCTGTTTTACAAACCACAATGCCCAAAAGGAGATAGAATAAGAGGGATTCATGGGTTGGGGTGGGATGGGGGGGGGGGGGTGAGGGATACTGGGGGCATTGGTGGTGGTAAATGTACACTGGTAGGGGATGGATGATCATTGTATGACTGAAACTCAAACATGAAAACTTTGTAACTGTATCTCATGGTGATTTAATAAAAAAAAATCCAACAAAAAAAACACATAATAAAATATCTCCTATGAAATTTTTTTTTAAAGAAATCTCTCTACTCTTTTTCTGATCAAAATAGTCTCAGTTGAGTGTAAAGCAAGCACTCTCCCTACTCACTGTACTATCTCTCTGACTCCAAAATGCATTTAGTAACTTGCCTTTAGGGACCAAGAAATGAGAATGTTTTACTGATTTCCATCCTAAAAATTAAGCATAATTTTATATTTTCATGGAAGTTATACCACTGAAACTATTATAGTTAAGTTTGGAATTTCGAAATGATTTACTGTCAATTGCAGGCTTCAATGAAATTAAATTATATTTCACATCTGTGTACAGGCATAGGAATGAGTAATATGTAAACACTCATTTTATTTGAATTATATTATCCGATATGCATATCTGAACCTAGATCAATCTGGCAAAGATGAAATTTGCTATCTTAATCTGTCTCTGAAAATACTTCGCACTAACACTTGTCATATAAGTATGGATCACCAATTCTGACAACCCTGCTATCCAAAAACCTTTACATTTCCAATAAAATAATCCAAAAGAACTTACTTCGAACCTGTTTTTTAATTTCTTTCGCAGGATCCAACCAATTCTGAAAAGGAAGTGACATTTGAATTTAAGCAAAAAGAGAAAAATAAAAAACACTTTTTGTCAACCAGTTAGAGAGATGTGCTAAGCATCTCTGAGAATGAGTGGCAGCTGCAAGTCCTCAGAGCTGGGTTCTTCCCCCGATATCTGATATTCTACAGCCTAGTCCTTAAAGCCCAATCACTGGTCTAAAGGGAAAATATGTATATGGACTATTCATGCTTTCAAAGACATTTTCTTTTAAGTCTTCTCCCTCCCTTCAGAGATTCAAATGAGCACAAAGGCAAGGAGAAACAACAGTGGATCCAAGTTACCAGAATTAAATACACATGCAACTTGACACACTGATATCCTAGACATCGTCCCATGGAATGATCGCTGTAGTACACATTCCTAGTGATCTACCTGTAAAACTTCCCCAACAAATAGACAATTGCTTGAGACTTGCAATTTTTTACAACAGAAATATTATATGCTTCATAATGAAATTAGATACTCTGCAATAAATCCAGAGGCATTAAGTATGATTTATCACATTAATACCAAAGCAAGTAACATCTATGAGTAAAATTTTTGTGACACAGTTTCTGCCATCAATATCATGGAAACATCTTCCTCCTTATTTTTCAAGGAATTCAGGGTATCCATGAGGTAAAGAAAAACCCAGTAACAGGAAGCATTACTCAGGTAAAAGAACATACAAAGGTCTTAACATCAATCTTTTACTGAGTAAGTTAACAAATGTTAGCTTAGCCAGCAACCTATATTCTCATCTGGTAAGATTTTTAAAGTATAATAAAATGAGTAAAGATTTGAAAATGGCCAGTGAAAGTATGAATAAATGTCAGTATATTTGATTTTTATTGGCTCAAACACACTGAAATATGTAATTTTTAAAAAGCACCACATAAAATGCTTTTCTGGGTCTAGAAATAAGCATGAAAAACAGAAATGCTGACTTTACACTTCCAAAATACTCAAGATTAAACAAAGTTGTCAGGAATGAGGCAATTAACAGCATTTAGGGATTCAGTGCAGTGAACATGTTTGAGGGGAGAATAACCCAACTATTCAGTTTTAATTACTTTCTCACAAAAGTGATCATTAATATTTCATTTATTTATTTACTTTTAATTGCGTACCTTCTGGTTTTCAGCATCTCTATATGTAAGCCCAAAGTAGTCTTTTTCTAGCAAGTTCAGATGTTCGCATACTTTATCAAAGAGCACTTGGCCTCTGGAGCGTTTCTATGGAAAACAACAGAAAAACGAGTCAACACATGCTCAAAATGTCTTCTCAATTCCCACAAACGAAAAAGGAGAAAAATCTAAAATTCTCTTTGTAATAAATGTCCATTAAGTTATGCTAACTATAATTATCCTAATTTTTTTAAACAAAAAATGGCTCAATTAATAGACTTAATTTTACTAAAATCTTCTGCTACACACAAATGAAACCCAAAGTTACTAATATGACAAAGGCAACCTATAGGTGTGATTTTTAAATAGAAATGACTAAATATTTGGTGTCTGGAGGCTTCAAATGTCCCATGAAATAGAAAATCCCAACAGTAAAAGGTACAAAAGACCAAGAAAAATTGTGATTCAAAATGTCCTAGCTGAACTCTTGACAACAGCATTGGGAAACCTTTTTTTTCTTTCTTTTTTTTTTAACCAAGGGCAACGTGGAAGTTTTTGACACCATTCTTGAGCGATACATAAGAGCAGACTGGCTGTGAGGAGTCAACCAGAAGCATGTGTGCCTGACCCTCCGCATTCCAGGGCCAGGTCAGACCACTTAATTTTATAACCCTTATATAGATCGTGTTCCTACTCTTGCCTTAGATGATGAAGATTCACCAGATCACTAAAACAGTTTTCACTTTAATCCTTATCGTAGGCAAATCTCCCCTTAAATTTACTGTTTTTGTTTATAAATTCTAGTTATGAATCGTGTTCCATGCATTAAAATAATTTTCTTTAGTTTTCTGTTTTGCCACAAACATGAGTTTTATATTATAGTGGTCAAATTTCTTTAGAAAAAAAATCCTACTATTACACAAAAAATGTTCATTAAATTATTTCAACTATCAATAATAAATACAAGGTAACAGATATATGCACCATATGGCAGTGATTTGGAAAAGGGTAGATATCTAGCAGGGGGAGGAATATCAGCTTAATTCATTGATACACAGTATCATCATATTTTTACCTAATCCTTGAAAGGTGTTTCAACATGACCTTGGAATCCAAGATGGATTAACTAACTACAGTTTAGCTAAACTACATTTTGTTTGTGCAGAACCAACATCACAGCTAATACACTCAGCATATTTGTCTTTAATTGTAATGCAATAAAAATTAGACATATGAAAATTCGCACATGTGTCTGCCAAAATAACAACCTGAAAGTGGCATGCATTATTGTGCCACTGCAATTATTTTGAAGTTAATTACTCAGTCCCCTCAAGCATGACTACTAAGGAAAAAAGATAAATCAGTGATAGAAAAGTAAAGTCTGAATTGTTGACCTGCTAAATAGTCTATATGTATTTGAAAAAGGAGTAATAACATATGAAAATAAATTACATGTTAGGAAGACTAACACAACACTGTTCAATTGATATAAATAAATGGAATGACAATGAAATGCTTCCTGCGGTTTAAATCTTTTATATATAAATACCTGCATATTCTGAATAATGCTTAACTAATGTTTCTAATGCCAACTAAAATTTTAAGCATTATAAAACATGTTATGTTTAATTTTAAGCATTATGAAACATTATGTTTCATAACGCTTAAAATTTACACCCCAAAATTTATTCTTTTGATAATTTTACTGGTATCATTTTACTGAGACCACAATATTGTATATAAACACATATACATACCATACAGTAGACAGTACAGACAGTACCTGATGATGAAGTACTTTCTAAATGAGTGAAAAATGAAATGACAAATACATAAACTTTTTTCTGGCAAGTGACCTGTGGTATATTCGAAATGCCAAAAACAGTAACAAGTCTCACAATAGAGAGGTTACTGGTGTCCGCTTGAGCAAATCGATGAACAAGGGTACGACAGTGCTACAGTGCTACTGTCATTTCTATGTTCTAAGCATTGTTCACAGTAGCTAAAATGTGAAATTAACCTCGGTGTCTCTTGACAAATGGCTAGACATTCCACTTTGGAACTGCCTTGCATCCAACCTGGGTTATTATATTCTCTTCTTTTACTTCATGCATCTCTCTCCTTTCTCTGGAGAAGCCTATGTTCTCTGTTAAATGAGTATTTTCCCCCTTTTAATAAAAAAAAAAGTGGCACATAAACTCAAGAGCTTTTATGCTTCCATTACGAAAAGTAGATTTTCTGGAAACAACCCGAGTGCCTGAGAACAGGTGACTAGCTGAAGAAACTATAGTACATCTATATAAAGAACAGTATGCAGCTGTTAGGAAAGATAAAGTCATGGAATGTGCTTATAAGTGGATGGACGTGGACAGTATCATGCTAAGTGAAATGAGTCAGAGAGGGACAGACATAGAATGATTGTACTCATTTGTAGAATGTAAAATAGCATAATATGAGACTAACACCCAAGGACAGTAGACACAAGGCCCAGGAAGACTGGTCTATGGTTGGAAGCCTGCCTCATGAGCCGGGGGAGAAGGTAGCTGGGATAGAGAAGGGATCACTAAGTCAATGATGGTGGGAGGAATCGCTCAGGATGGGAGATATGTGCTGAAAGTAGATAAAGGACCAACCATGATGGCCTCTCAGCGTCTGTATTGCAAACCATAATACCCAAAAGTAGAGAGAGAGAGAGTAAGAGGGAAATTGTCTACCATAGAGGTAGGAGGAAGTGTGGGACAGGGTGGGGGGAGGGATACTGGGGACATTGGTGGTGGTAAATGTACACTGGTGGAGGGATGGGTGTTTGATCATTTTATGACTGAAAATCATGAAAGTTTTGTAACTGTATCTCACCATGATTCAATAAATAAATTTAAAAAGAATAGCAGATTCTGAGACAATTATGCTAAGTGAAATAAGTAAAACAAGATATACCTAACAAATGGTTTCACTCATATGTGGACCACGAAGTAAAGAAAAAAACAAAAACAATCTAAGAAAAATAAACTTAGAGACACAGTGAAAACTACTGTGGTTTTCATAAGGGAAAAAAAGGAGAGTTTGGGTGGGAAAGATGAGTAGAGGGGCCTTTTTTAGATAGAATAGCACTGCCTTTGGTGTAGTGTGTTAGGTCAGGGTTAGGGCTAGCTTGAATACTGTAGTATTAAAGTATTTTAATACAGTTGAAGTAGTGTAGTATTGTAGGTTAACCCCTGAAATACTGTAGTACTGAAAAGCAGTGACAAGTAAAACTAAAGCAAAACAGACACATCCCGTAAGTTTAACAAAATCGTACATAGTGAGTGGAGAGTCAGGGGTTAAATGAGAACTCTTTACTTGTCAATCAATTTTCCTATGAAACTAAAATATCCCAATAAAAATTCTATTTCCAAAAAGAGGAAAAGTTAAATATTTAGTGTTTTCTTTTAAATGGTTAAAATAATGTACTAAATTCCAAATAACTTACCTTTAACCATGAGTGAACAAAAACTCAAATTTTGCATTTAGATAAGCACTTTAGAAAAAAATCAATAATTTCCATGACAGAACATATCAACATATAAAATGATTCTAGGAAAATGTGTTAGATCATTCTAGGAAAGCTGCCATCTACCCTCTGTCCCAAGTAAACACACCCAGGAATCTGGAGTGTAATGCAGGCTAAGCCAAGATGATCTGGTGATAACAGAAGCTGGGCACCAGATCAAAGTTATTTCTCATGAGGAACACTGTATAATTTAGTACACCCAAACCACCACAACAAAAATGACAGAAGAGCTAAAGTTTCGAGACACTTTTTGGTGAGTTCAAATTCTGTGATGACCACACAGACATAGAATAAAAATTAACTTTGTTTCCTTTCTTTTTTTAAATAAAATAAGCAACATTAGTGAAACTTCCGCAAGCCCAGTCAAGAATTTTCCAAGTGTCTTTAAAATACTGGTTATCAATATATGTCTCTCATCAAACATTAGTCTGGATTATAATCATTAATTTTGTCTATTAAAGAAATGATTTTTAAGAATTAATTTCAAAACATTTCAGGATAGGAATTTCCAAATATGGGTGGAATTAATGTATGAAATCTGCACATTCATCACCAGGCTTCACCAAATGCCTTCTGATGACTAAGACACTGGTCTTTAGCTCTATCAATATACCCTACCATTTGCTATTTGGACGTACTTCAGCAAATAATTTTTCTTCTGAATTTAGTAGATAACTGCTTCTTTATATTTAGGATTTTAAAAATATATAATCTAAATTCCTTTACCACATCCAAACAAAATGAACATTTAGTCCTTATTATCAAGTTCTGAGTCAGTACTTTAACTTCCAAATGAATTGCTTTTGTTGTTCTGTCTTTTTCAGCTTGATAAATCCATAATCTGCAAGTGGCAGACAATCTGCTAGTTCTCTATCGTGGTTGTCCTCTTAAAATTAATTTTGTCTGTAAGACCAGGTTTTACGTATAATTTCTTTACTTGTATGAAGAGTTTCTTCAGTCTATACCAACATCTTTCAATTGCTGGTTTCTCATTGGCACACCATTACCAGTGTAAAATATCTCAAGAAATGATGAACCAGTCTAATTATATGTAAACAATAATACAAATGAGAAATAATAAAACTGCAAACTGTAAAAATATACAAAAAACTTAAAAGATAACTAATTTGCATTGAAAAGTTATCAATGAAAATGTATCTTCTCCCATGGAGTGGGATTTGCCCTCTGTAGAGGTAAAATATAGACTTTCACTCAGAACTGTACCATATAACTAAAGAAAGACCTTAGGAAGGACAATAAATGCCTGGATTTCCTCTTTTGTAACAGGCAGCAGCAACAATACCTTCAGAGTGATTAGGAGACCATCCAGATTGCGACCTGTCCACAGCTGCAGGGAGGCTGAAAACCACTGGTCTACTATCTTGGTTAACTGCAAGTTTATGGACCAGTATGCAAGATGTGTGCCAGTATACAAGTGTAAGAAGGTTGAAGGATACTGCTTCCTAGGTGCTAACACACTGTACTTAATCCAGGGAACAATGGATAGAGTAGCTATTCATGGTCTATAGTTGTCCTAGACAAAGCTACATCCATTAGC